TTTTATTTATTGTTAACAGCTGCAACAACCAATACTATGTACAGCACAATAACAACAAATCCGCAACAAAACTACGACAAACAACCTCAACGATCCCGGCTATAACAACATCGTCAATATCGGCGACGCGTATCAGCACATCAACAGTCAAGGACGTTGAAGGCCATTCGTCGACATTTTACATTTGTTGTTACGGCACGCTGCGGACTGCGGACTGCGTACGGCGCACGGCGCACTGCTTTGGTAGTGGCAAAACTGAGCTTGTATGCGCTGTGCTAAGTGTTATTATTATTGTTATTGTTGTAATCATTTGTTTCCCATTTATTTGTGTAGAAGCAATAATTTTTTTTTTTATTTCTTTAAAAACGCGCTCGTTTTCATCATACGAGACATACACATGTACATGTCAACATACATACATACATGCATACAATCAATACGCGTGTATGTTCATTAGTGTGGATGTAGTTATTATGGTGGGCTTGCACGGAAGTACTCATCTAATTTTTCACACTTGACTTTTGTGGAGGCGTTACCTATATTTTGCGCCTTTTCTGCGGGTTCACCTCAACTCTTTAACCACATGAAATGCCGGTGTGGCGTCTGCTTGTAGATTGGATTATTAATTCTAAGCGCAGACAAAATATTCTTTTTGCTCTATGCATTCATCAATCAACTAAATATGTACGAAGTGATTATTTTTTTGTCAGTCGCATTTAATTATAGTATATACTGTACATACTCGTATGTACATATGTATACGTATGTATTCGGATATACATAGTTAGTTCCACTCATTAGCTCGCCTGATTGATATGTTAAAATTATAGATTTGGAAAAATTAAAAGTAAATTTGAAATCTTCGCTTTATTTTTGCCTAGACCACTGCTTTGTTCTTCAAATGTTGAAACTTTCAACCCCCGCTTCAGCGAACAATTGTATGAAAACAAAGACTAACGAAGAATACGTAAAAAATGCCACCGAAACAATAAGCAGGAAATGCGTGGTACACGGTTTTTCTTTTCGAGAAATTTTTTTTTCGAAATTCCACGTGAATTCCGACCACGGCATCGGGGTTCTCGGAAACTGCCGTTCCCTTTGAAAGCTGTAAATTCAGAATCTTCATACTTTTTACACCAAGAGCTGAGATGTTGCTGCGAGCAGAGCTATAGATAAGAAGAGGGTGTCAGACCGACAACTTTGATCTTATAAAGATTTCACGGAAGATGGAAATCTAAAACGGGGATAACTGCAATATTTCCATATTTTGGTGTCGTAAAAATAAATCCATTATTTTTGCATGAAATTGGAGGCTTTAATTATCATAGTTAAAATAATCCGACGGCAGCGGTAGCCGAGTGGTTAGCATTGCGTGCTGCCATTCGGAAGGCTCGGATTAAAATCCCCGTGCGACCAACATCCAAAAATTATAGAAAATTAGTTTAAATAAAAAATTAAGTTAAATTTTCTAACTGTGGTCACCCCTCGGTGGGAAATGTCAACCCATCCGAGTGTACTTCTGACATGAAATAAAGCTCCTCATGAAAAAACATCAGCCGACAGGAAGCGACTTAGTAAAAACTGTAGGTCCCTCCATTTTTTGGATAACTTGTGGCCATTTTAAAGGTAATATAATTATGCCTTTCTCATAGAAGCCCTTGTTCCTATTGGAAAAAATTGAGACAGTCGATTTTCACAAGCCTCTCTTGAAGCGAATTTTTCACCAGCATAATTGTACGCCATGGACAGGAACAAATGGTAATCTCTTGGTGCCAGGTTCGGACTATAAGGTGGATGTATAAGAACCTCCCAACCAAGCTCCCGGAGATTATGGCGAGACACTATCGAAGTGTGTCTTGATGGACCACGATTCCTCTCTTATTGGCCGAAGTTGGCCGCTTCTGTGCGATTGCTACCTTCAGACAGTCTATTTGTTGACAGTACATTTCCGAGTTAAGATTTTTGGCGTATGGGAGCAGCTCATAGTAGATAATTTCCTGCCAATTAGACCAAATACATAGCAAAACTTTCCTGGCGTTTCCGCCGGTTCATCGCGTTTTAACCACGGCCGCTTTCGCTTAACTTTTGTCGTAAGGGTTCGACTTTTCATCGCTCATCACCAATTACCAACCGCTTCACAAGTGGGTCGATTTTGGTGCGGTTCGTTGATATAAATTCGGTTCATGAGGTGTTTTTTGCGTTAACTCGTGTGGCACCCATACACCGAGCTTCTTTTCGTATCCAGCCTTATTCAAATGGTTCCAAATGGTTTTTTGTGCATTCTTTAGCTCTTGGGCAATCGTGTCAGTGCTTACATCACGGTCGGACTCGACAATGTCCGTGATTTTGTCGAGATTTTCGACAATAGGCATCCCATTGCATGGTGCCTTTTGACATCGAAATTGCCGGAACGGAATCGACATCTATACAAATTCAAAAAATATAATTACTGACAATTCATCAGTAACAATTCATAATAAGAATAAATTCAAAATTCATTTTGATTATCTTGAAAGTTGATTGTACCAAATGCTTAATAGCGCGGACTGCCTGAGATTGCCCATCCAAATATTGTATTCTGTGCAACTGGTCTAGTTGGCGTTGCGGGCATTAAACCTGGCCTTAGGGTCGCTGCGTGCTTCTCCTTTAAAAAAAAACGGGTCGTCACTAGATTCCTGAGTCCTTGGCCATGAGAAACCGTCTGGCTAGTACCTTCGAAATACTGGAAGCTGGCTGTCCAGGATCAATGACGGCACGAACCCTTTGTGTACGCCCGTTTATTGCCACTCTTACCATTACCATCGGCGTGAGGACAGATTGACTGGTTATTTTCTAAACGTGTAATTCGACGGCGACGTGATTGATTGATGCGACTTATTTTTTGTTGCGATTGCATCCACAGCTAAGCCGCTAGATCACTAACCGAATACTCGACAGCAGCGATCTGAATACCGTCTGATCACTGGGAATGGTTGCTCGTTCTTCTACAAGATCTGCGCTGCTGGCATCTATTCTTAGAACTTCTTCATTACTGAATTGAGTCAATGGCTTAGCCCGATAGGGACAGTATTCTGTACCGACCGCCAACCACGCCCTGGATGTGAATCGTGAGTTTTAAAATTGTGATAGATTCATTTAATTCCAAAATATAATACAATTTTTTCCTATTTTATTTTTTTTTTTTTGTGATTTGTAACCGCTGTAACGATTTTTCTTCCGAGGCTCCTCCACCAATTCGTGGTTTTGCGTCTTGATGTTTTTCCAACAAATGGTGTAGGTCCCTAAGCCGCCTCCGAACGCCTGATGGTTTTTTTAAGAGGAATCCTTATTTCATGTCAGAAATACACTCTGAGGGGCTGACATTCCCTGCCGGGGGGCGGCCGCAATTACAATATTTAATTAAATTTTTAATTTGAATTAATTTTTTATAACTTTCGGATGGTGGTGGCACCCAGTCATAAATGTCAGTAGGCAATGCCAACCACTCGGCTACAGCGGCTGCAATTTCTATAAAAGTTTTTGTTTTTAATAAGAAAGAAGTAAAAATACATCATTCAAAGTATTGTCTGTTGGAAGCGACTACTTTTTCCCCATTTCTCTCATAATTTTCAAATACCATGCCAAAAAAAAAGATGTTCTCTCTGTACTCGATCCAAACTCTTCAAAAGATCCACACCGGTGGCCCCCAAAATGTTTTTCAACCGTCGAAAAAAACAGTAGACGGCAACAGCAAGGTCTGGAGAAGGTGGCGGGTGGGGTAAGAGCCCTCATTTTAGCGTTTGCAGGCAATTTTTGACGATTACAACGATGTAGACGATATCGCAAATATCTCTCTCGCCCCGCAACCGATGACGAAACACAAGCTGATTGTACCAACTTCTTTGCGAAATTGGGACGAATGAGTGTATTCCTGACGATTGATTGGATCGTCGATAATAAACAAGTTTTCAGTAAAAGTGACTTTACAGAGAGTTTAGGAACAATCCCAGCATTTTTTAAGAAGGCAGTCATAACTTCGAAATCGTAGATATTTTCAACCATCCAAGAATTTGCATCCTTACAAACTATTGAAAAGTAAAGTCCTCACCCAACGAGCAAAGATCAAGCTTTTTAAATCGGCCCTGACAACCGAATAGATGAAACCACTACAGCTCTGAAAGTAATCGGTGGAAGGATCAGTTAAAAAAGGACCTGGCTTCACTTAGTGTTTGCGAGTTATAAAAGATCAGCGAAAAGAGGAAACGACTGGAATTCTACTAATAATTAGAATATAATCAATAGCTGTAAAATTTGTCGGCCAGATTTCGTATAACATGCCGAAAACCCAACATTTATCTGCCCGCAATTTTGCAAATAGCGTCGAAGGCTGCACGTGTTAAGCTAACCCTGGCTACGTAGTGACATGTAAATATTTGGTATGCAGTTACCACCATAACAGCTGAAAAGTCATGCAATTCGGATGAAGCAAACAGCAGACTCGCAGACGTCAGAGCTGGGTACTAGCTATGGGCACTCATTCTTACCTAGTTGCTAAAGGGAACTGAAACCATACCTGTTGAACAAGATGTTCACGGACGATGTCGACTCAGACTATTAAGCTATTAGCTCAACAGCCTCCTGACAAAATACTAAACCGTCTACCTGGGTTATTGTCTCGCACAGATGGGATTAAGGCACTCGATGATTTACATCCTCCAAAAAAATAAATATCGTTGCTACAATCGGAAGATAAAAACCGCAGTTGAAGACTAAATGAAGACATTCCATAAACAATTCTCAACAACCAATGGATATTGGAAAGAAAAGCTTTCACTTGGCCATACCTACCTGATGTTCAAAGTAATTTCGAAACTCAAAATGAACTGATTAGAAAGAATATCTTCATCTTAATATTTCTAAATATCTCCATCACTATGAATCTAATTATCTTTAGACCGACTATTCAGAACCTTCATCTCAAGCCCCCTCTGTACCCCAAACATAAAAAAAAACTCTCTAAATTTCGTAGAAAAAAATTTAATGCTTTTGATTTCCCGTCATATTAAAGAAACATGTCGCCTTGAACTGAAATAGATCTGCAATATTAAATATATTTAAATATGTTGAAATTATAGTGGCCAAAACACCGAAGAGCATCACCGTTAGCGACAACGTCAAATCGCATTTCAAACGATGCCAACATTTTGCCACGTTCAACCAATATTTACGCAGACGTAAACGCCATGAGAACGGCACACCGCTGCGTTGTTGCTGTTCCAACATCAATAACTGTTCCATATCTGAATGCACCGGTTCGTAATTCAAATCGAGTGGTATGCTACCATATGAAGACTCCGTCGCAATCCGCTGATGGCATCTCTCCATTTGACTGATACGCCGATACAGTAGTGGTGGCAGAATGAAAACCAACGGCGCGACAATAGTGCCACCTACAATGTCCATGAGAACATCGAACTCCGGCACAAATTCCGCTATGAGTACTTCTAGGCCGACAACGGTAGAGCGAAGAACGATGCGCTTCCAAGAGAATGCTGCAAAGTGTAAATTATAAAAATTATTAGAGATTTAGCTTAGATATTTTTTTGAAAAACTCTTTGGACTACACACCTTCTTTGATTTGCAGATAATTTTCGATTTGTAAGAACATTGCTGTACTGCCAACTATAATTGAGAAACACAATTGCAATGCCATGAGTATGAGTAGTAAGTAGAGTGGCACACTCTTCGGTAATGACTCCAATAAATTGTCCGCGATCATTGTACCAAATTTGTATGCAGCGACGATTGATCCGAATATCGCAATGGCACAAGTAACTGTAATTGGAGTATAGTTTTGACGATAATTAATGGAAAACACACAAAATTTCAATGAATAGGGATTATCATATAAAGGGTGATTTTTTAGACATTATCCCTGGCTGGAAACACTGGTTTAAACTGCTGACGCACATTTCGTGTTTCGAATCACTGTCAAACAGCTTCAGTTTGGTCTATAATTTAACCATGAAACGTCTTACAGACGAGCAACGCTTGCAAATTATTGAATTTTATTATTAAAATACGTGTTCTGTTAAGGAAGTTCATCGCGCGCTTCTTCCATTTTATGGTCAGTTTAAATTTTGATGTCATGGGTGCGTAAATAAGCAAAATTGTCGATTTTGAAGCGAAGATCATCCAGAAGCATTGCAAGAGCTACCAGTGCATCCAGAAAAAGTCACAGTTTGGGGTGGTTTATGAGCTGGTGGCATCATTGGACCGCACTTCTTCAAAGGTGCTGCGAATCGTAACGTAACTGTGAATGGTGAACGCTTGAGTTGCATGACATGTGATTTCAACAAGACGGTGTCGCATGCCACACAGCACGCGTAACAATGGACTTATTCAGAGGCGAGTTCGTGGTGAACATTTTATTTCACTTTCGGGACCGGCCAATTGATCGTCTAGACCGTGCGATTTAACGCCTTTGGACTATTTTTTGTGGGACTATGTTAAATCTAATGTCCCGCTTCAATAGACGCTTTGGAGGACAACATTAAATCAATTATTCGTGGGATACCGGCCGAATTTTGGAAAGAATATGCCAAAATTGGATTAAGCAGATGGACATTGGCATGAAATAACCTTCAAACATTAAATTATATGGATCGTACTACCGATTCAAATAAATATTTCATGCATTTTTCTGAATTCTATGTGTTTTTTTTTGATAAACTTTCCTATAGCTCTTAAAAAATCACCCTTTATTTATATACAAATCTTGCGTACGTTTGTAGGGGTCCGCATTGTGGTCCAGGGACCAACCTATTCGAAAAAATGTAATTTATGCCTGGATTTTTTTGAAATTAGGTTCAAAGGTGGCTTTTTGCTTGCCGAGCCAACCGAACTCTTCTAAAAAATCGAGTTTATAGTTTTTTTTACTTAAAATTCTTAGTATAAAAATTGGACAAGTGCAGAAAGACGCGGCGATTTAACCGGGTTAAAATTGCCAACTAGGTTTATCCTTGACAACCACTGAAACAACTTTTCGACGGAATTCTTCCTCCAATTTATGCCGTCAAATGAACGTTGGATATTTATGAGCACCTTTTTATTTCTGGTCAGAGGATTTTTTATTCCGATTGTTATTATGATATTAAAAAAATTTATTTCTCTAAATTTTTATATTGATCTGACCAGGATCCGATGATAGGATCCTTCGCATGTCATAGCACGCACTGTTAACCACCTGGCTGCCACGGCAGCAACAAATAAATAAGAGGATCGAATGTGATCTTACTTGGAGGTCAGCTCTCTTCGCACAGATCTGCAACCTCAAGAAGAAGTTGGTAGGTAGCAGCGATGGCCGCTCATTTCTGCCGAGTTCTGTTATAACTTTTATACGCTTTCGGTTTAAAACTGCTTGTAAATTAACCTCTGTAAATTAACCATCTGGCATGACTAGCAAGGACTTATTAACGTAGTTCTCATCGCGTCTGCTATATCCGGTAAACCAGTTCGTTACACGGTTTATACGGTGCTCCTTCTTCTAGTTCGCCTGCTTTCAATATGTTCCTTGCTGATCGAGATTGCAGTACTAATTTGGTATAAATCTTGGGCAGAGCGACTTTTTTTACTAAGTTTTGCCCTTTACTACGATTGGGAAGACTCTTGATATAAGCCCCTACCTTCTACCAGTTAATTAAGTGAAACAATGTTGAAAATACCAGGGCAATAAAATATATTTGTCGTAGCAGTAGACAAGCTCTCAAGTGAAAACCAGAACTGTGTGTTGGTGATGTAAGATTAAGTCACTACCTCCATATGAAACTCGGTCCACTACGCGGTCGGAACCAAGAATCGGAAGTCGATAATGCAATTATTACCCAGCGCAGGTAAAACATGAAGACTGAAAGCGCACAGTTTTTCTATTTGGATCTCACTCTTAGCCACTGAAAGCATCAACATGGTGGATGCAAGGTTCAAGCCCAACAATGACGTTCAGCTAATGGTATCTTAATAGTGATTTTAATCTTTAAACTATAAAATCATTGACACCCAAAACCGCTTATATCAGACCTCGAAAATATGAAAAGGAGTTATCTCTATAAATTTTTAACTCTGTGAAACTTAAGCGACTGCATAAATGAACACAACCGACGTTAAGTACAACCTACAGAATTGAAGAGAACCTCTTTGTTCGGTTCGTTACCAAACGAGATTTCCGACACCATTAAAAAATAACGTAAGCTACGTGCTGGAGTAATCATAACTTAAAAGACTCTCCTGATTTATCCCCTTCGAGCAAGGAGACTGTAAGTGAAGCCGAGAGTGGAATGGATAACTAAATTTTCTTTTAGAACCATCAGCTCGTAGGACTTTTTTCTTCAAAAGTCTATAAAAATTTGAAGGGTTCACTAAGCATTATGCAGAATTACAGAAAAACTAAAGCTAGTATTTAGAGCAACAGTTCTTTAAGAGAGAGCCAGAATTGTAAATATTATCTGACGAACACTGACGATCCCTTTGTGAAACGAATGAGTAAGTACTCTTCCAATCGTGACTACCCAGTAACAATTTATACCAAGCTAATCATACGTAGATATATTGAACTAAACTTACTTGTAATTCCACTAAAGGCCGCCCAATAAACTTGAGATTTGTGCTGCATATCGATTTGCAAGGTGAGTAACATTGGGTGAATGTCAAACTGGAAAGCCAAAATGCTGTAACCATTCAGCAGGGCCAACAAAGATGGCAATTCTAGGAATTATTGAAGACATATAAATACATACATACATACATACATACAAATATGTTTAAAGCGATTTGAACATACCCAAGCTGACACCTTCGAAGGGTTTACCCAACGGTGCGGCGGCGAAAAGACAAAACCACAAAAGAATCACAATAACAACGAGGACGATGAGCGAGAATATCGCCAATCCACTACATGAAAAAAAGAGAAACAAACAAAAACGTATCAAAGTATAAGGAAAACAAAAACAGGAGAAAAGCATGAATAATATTTAAAATATAAAGGGTGTTTTTTAGAAATGTGGTTTTCAAACAGAAATAAAATGTATGTAACTTATTGTTTGGCTAAGAGTTTAGATTTATTATGAAGATAAGGGTTTGCCGTTATGTTTTAAAAATATCAAGTGTAAAGCTTTGCTTCCGCCATTTTTTTCCAATATGCAAAGTATTGTCCTTCCCTAGCGACAACTTTCTCCCATCTTTCCGGCAATTTTCGGATGCCGACTCGAAAAAAGGAGTCCTCTTTTGACGCTATCCATGAAGCAATCCATTTTTCCAATTCTTCGAGCGATTGAAAATGTTGATCTGCCAGGTCGTGTGCCATCGAACGGAAAAGGTGGAAGTCAGAAGGGGCGACATCTGGGGAATGCGGCGGGTAGGGCAAGACTTCAACGTTTCCAGGTACTTTTTGACCACTTTTGCGAAGTGTGGCCGAGCATTGTCGTGTTGGAGGATGATTTTGTCATGTTGCTCTTGATATTGTGGCCGCTTTTCTTTCAGCACGCGACTAAGGCGCATCAGTTGCGTTCGGTAGCGATCTCCTGTGATGGTTTCACCCGGTTTTAAGAGCTTGTAGTAAATCACACCGAGCTGATCCCACCAATACAAATCATAACCACCATGTTTGTCTTCGACATCGGAATCACCATTTTTAAAACGTTGAAACCACTACCGACACGTTCTTTCATTTAGAGCAGCATCACCGTAAGTTTCTGAGAACACTCGATGCGCTTCAGCTGCATTTTTTTTCGAATCGTAACAGAAAAGTAAAACTTCCCGCAAATGGCGAGAATTAGGCACATAAACGGACATTTTCGAGCGTGAATAATACGAAAACAACAACTGTCACTGAAACGGCGGTGACCATTTGTTAGGCACTGTCCACACTCACTGTAAAGGCATTATCATCTATGTATTTCAACCAGCCTCAGCCGGTACAGCCACCTATCGGAAATCGGCGGAAGCAAAGTTGTACACCTGATAATTTCGGACAAGCGCGACTGGTTCTAATAAATTTCAGCCGAGAGACGCGATTTTTGACCAGCAATAACGCGTAGAATATTCTCTTCCGTGCCGTCAATCGGCTCGGGCTTGACTGCGTAGGCAAGCCACTTCATAGACCCCAAAAAACTTCTCCAAGGTGTTAAATCGCACGATTTAGGAGGCCATGCCACAAACCTACGGAATAATGTGCAAATCAAAAGTTTCCTTCAATAAATTGATTTTTTCGTAGGCTGTATGCCATGTAGCGTTGTTTGTAGAAACCTTGCTTGCTTGTGGATTAACATCACTGCTTTTACGACAGTTATTTTTATTAATCCATCCATTCAACCAAAAGTGAGCAACGAGGTGTGACAATTAAGTAATGAGACTGATTATATTGCCGCGGTTGAGGTAACCCTGCGTCCTTAAAATTCCCTTTCCTTTCCATTAATATATTCGCCATCAATTTAGCTTGTTTAGTTCGTCTGCTATGTCGTGTTGAGTAAACGTGTGCTTGTGGTGCTCCTTACGAAAATGGAAAAACGAAATCAAGAGCAACGCGACGCAATAAAATCTTGCGCCAAGTTGAGTGATCCCACGCTGCTTGATCGAGTTATTACGGGCGATGAGAGCTGGTTTTTTCAATACGACCCGGAAACCAAACGCCGAAGCTCACAATTGTTATCTCTGCGGGCAGCCCGTCCGAAAAATCCTCACGTGAGCAAGTCGAAGTTGAAAACGCTGATTATAGCCTTTTTCGAAAGCCGTGGAATCATCTACAAAGAATTTTTTCCACCGGGGGCAAACCGTAAGTCAAGTCTACTATCGCCAAGTACTCGAAATAATGCGAAGACGAGTCAACAGGGTGCTCCCAGACATCGCTCGTGTTGCAACAACCGCCTTATTCGCCCGATATATCATCCTGTGACTTTTTTTGTTAGCTATAACAAAATCGGTGGTCAAAAGAACCCATTTTAAGTTGATTGAGGACATCCATGGGGCCATGGCATCCCAGTCGAAGCGTTCCAGTGGTATAGCTGCCCAAGGGGACTACTTTGAATAGAATGGCAGAGTTGTAGAATAATTTTGAAATATACAGTTTTTATGGAATCAATCTCTTTACATTCGTTTTAGGCCGAACGTGCGTCGTGCTCAATAGTCATTCGGTTTTAATTATTGTACGAATTGGATTTTTTTAAGTCGTCAAACCAAGATGTTTCCGGAAAATCTTTTCTGAAATAGATGGGCTGTAATTGTTGAGCGCGTTGACGGATGGACTCATTTAGGTCTTCTCCGATACTATGAAGCAATAACGTCTTCGGTGCGCACTGTGCGGCACCTCTGAGGAGGCGAGTTATTCACTAGAGTAAACGTGGTGCGAAACCGATTCATGGTTGCTTGAATTACCGACTCGGCTGGGCAATTATGTTGACCAAATATTGGACGCTGCGAACGTTGTTCAGGTGTAAGTTTGTTCATTACGAAATGGCAAGGCGAACTGGATATAATTCAAGTAACATGTAAAACCTCAAGTCTAAATGAACACCCTTTATTAATTACATACAGCTACAATTACGATCACGCATAATTGCTGATCATAAATACATATATATTATATTAGTACATATGTATCTACAATATTGCATTGTAAATATACGTGTATGTATGTATGTATAGTTCGTTTGTAAGTAATTCTATAAATAAATTATAAAATATTATTTATCAAACATTTTAACTTGCTTTTAATCATATACAAATACATACATACACATACATATATATGTGCATAAATTAATTATTATGATTTTCTTTCACGCATTTCTACATCTTACCGCATATGTTTGGGACTGCGCAACCACATGAGCGGACAAGAGAATATTCCGATGATAATAACCCAATAGCAAAATGAGAAGGAAAACTCATTATCCGTTATTCGTTCGCCGACAAGCTCGAGATTTTGCGCTGCTATCACCAAACTCGGTATGGCTGTGGCGAATATACTGATGTCGAGTAGGATGCGTACGAAGAGGCTGAGGTATGGTCCATAGGCTAAATCTGCAATCGCTGCGTAGGGATATCTGCAAAAAAATATATAATATTAAAAATAGTTATATATGCCTCCCCTCGGCGGGGTTTGCTGCTTGTTTTATATTATATATTTGGAAGTCGCGATAGGTTAGACACAAGATAAGCCACTCTAGCTGTGGAATTCCAAAGGCTAGATTTTTCTAATTACGGTCGACCCTCGTCAGGATCTGTCAAGCCCTCCGAATGAAAATCTATCGACCGTTCGGAAGGGGCGTAGAATAAGCTGTAGGTCTATCCATTTGTACCTGCAGAAAAATGAACTCGTTCCAACAGGCGGTATAAAATTTCCAAGTTCATAACACCAGCTCTCTCAGGAACGAGCCTGCGCATTGCTGAGTCTGCAAAATACCTGGGACTCATACTGGACATGACATTAAGCTGGTCACAGAACTCAGAGGAAAGGATGCCTAAGGCGTCCATTGCCCTCTATACTTACCAAAGTGCGTTAGGCCGGCAATGGGGCATGTCACCAAAAAAAGTGCATTGGCTTTACATATATCTGAGTTGTTAGGCTTATACTTCTCTATGTGGTTGTGGTATCCAGAACTAGAGAAAAAAACAACGATCTCTAAATTCGATAAAGTAAAAAGGGTAGAGCTCCTGTGTTTCAGCAGAGGACTTCGTACCACAGCAACTGAACCTGTGTATGTTCTCTTAGATTTAGTCCCCATTGACATAATGGGGATCGCACAATGCTGCTTGCGTCGCCGTAAGGCTACAAAACCAGTCTGAATGGATAGTTATAAACCACGGGAGTATTAGGATCTTAAGAAGATCTCGTCTACCAAACCAAAAACCAGATAGCTGCATATCAACCACTGACTTCATGACATATTTCAAGGTACTTTTCTCGGATGGGCGTAACAAAATTAGACAACATTGTCGGTGGCGGAGTTTACTCAAAGGAACTTGATATCTGTAAAATCTTTCGGTTACCGGATCACTGTAGTGTTTTTCAGGCAGAATTTGTGGTCATACGTGAGGCTGTCAATTGTCTCAGATCAAGAGTACTTTCGTATAATCGTATTCATATTTCGGATATTTCGGATAGCTAGGCCGCATTACGAGCCCTGCAGTCTATAAAAGTAAAATCTAAAACCTTAAAGAACTGCGGCAGATATAGGAGAGTTATTCATTAAAGGTACCAACTTAAGATGGAGAAGTCTCAGCTCATGTAATGTGGCCAGGGCAATATGGCCTGAATGGGATAGTAGTAGATCACGTGACCTTATCGAGCTGAAAAGAAAGTAGATGTCTTACTGGGCAGAAAGATTGTGTGTGCCATCTAATGATTTCTGCAGTATTCTTTTTGCGAGTGCCCCACACTTTGGAGGAATAGGTTGGAGTCTCTCGGGGAGACCTGAGCGAGATAGCAGGGGCCAAGCTTTGCTTTTGCGGGTAGGTGTCGCTAGGATCTTCAGTAGTATCACAATGGCCCCACTTGTGGCCTAAGTAAGCCGATGACCGGCAGACATTTCAAACAACCATCAAAATCATCAAGACGCAAAACCACAAAACGGCCAAAAATCACTGCAACGAATACATTATAAAAGAAATTTCTGTGGTAAAAAGCGCCTCTAGGTTTTTATACCCAAACAACCTTATCCTTCCAAAGACTGTCACTCCCGCAATTCAACTTGCTGGTAGGCCAACTCGACAACTGTATAATCTAAGTTCACTCCCGTGAGGCAAACTAGGTAACAAAACAGCTGAGAAGTTTGACAAATCAGGAGCAATTGTTGTAGTGGTTCCTAGCTTTGCTTAGGAGCAGGCATTATCAGTCTAAATCATCGAGGTCATCTGAAGGGAGGTCCAAGAAACGAGCTGTTTCGACAGGCTCGCACCAAAGGAAAAGACCGGGTTAGATGAGTTTGTTTTGAGGGCCACACCAAGAGCGGGTTAGTTTCGTGCGGGGACTTATTGCCTGCAGGAAAACGAGATCAAGTCTGCTTAGGTAGGAAATTTGTCGACTACTATAACCAGATCTCATTTGTGCAAGTGCCATCGCCAATTATATATATATGATATTATTATGTAAGTCTTTTTTTTTCTCTTTATTAACTACAAAAAATTTTTATCGTACTATATTTTATATATACACAATTTCAGTTTCTCTCTTTGGCTCTAAAAAATCCCGGACGAAGGTAGCTGTAGCTTGACACGACAGAAGACAAAAATGGGCGTGGCAAGACCAGCGTTATATTGCTATCTCCGTGGAACACACTTCGATATAAGTTAAGTACCATTTTCTCCTGTTAAGGTGTGATGACAAGCAAAAAGCGGAGGCTCGTTATAACTACATAGCATTTCAAGAATATTCCATTGAAATCTCTTTGCAATACCCATTAAGGTGCGAAATTACTCTTATCTGTTAAACACATTCACTTCACACAGTTCAACTCACTACTCACCTGCTCTTCTGTGATATCGACGGATCAAAGGACTCAGCCATAATCCAACATTGACTGAGCAAGTACGAAGTGTAGATTTGTAGCACAATAACGGACAAAATCAAGGGGATACCCAGAATGCCCAGCTCCACCATGAGAGCTGGCAGTGTAATTAACGGGAAGACACCAAACAAATCGACAACATAGAGAACTGCAATGAAAAGTGTTAAATTCTCCTTCTCAACACCGATTTTCTGAAAATGTGGCAGAGCACTAAAGCGCGCACGGGACAAAAACGGTAACTGATCATTGTGAATTGTGTGCTGCATGGAAGGCGGCAATGATGGTGGCGCATTGGATTGGTAATAAGCCTTCGAGGGACGCACTGCCGTCTTATGACGGCGTTTGAAAAACATATTACGGTTTTTTTTTTTTTGTTTAAGTTACGATATTTTACAAGAACACCGTTGTGGTGATCTCAAGATGAGTTTGTTTTAAGCAAATTTTTTTTACATTACGAATAAGTATATTTTGACGAATATGGCACGATGGAGCGATGCAACCGTACGATTTAAAATAAGGCAAGCAACTGAAGCCAATTTTGTGTTAGAAAATCAACGTAACTCTCCATGCCTATTGCGATGCATTACCGTTAGAAATAGATATACAAACACACAACTCACATACTTTTATACATACATACATATGTAGTAAATACTCTCCACCGAGTAAATGAGCATGGAAATCGCAATTGCAAGTCGCATTGAAAGCTGTTGCAAGTAATTTGATCCTCCAGCAGTGGTGAGCACCTAAAGCGTCAAAGCCCGGGAGCAAAATAAACATTCTTACGGTTTGTGTTCATATGTACACACATATGCACATATGTTTGTATGGGTGTTCATTAGACTTTTACAAGAATATACAAAATGGTTTTCATAAGACTGTCTTGGCTAAAAGGTCAATAACACCCGTTAAGTACTCGCCTTACCAATCTAAAAGGTGCATGCAACATAGAAGTTGTATAAAAGTCCGCCGAAAGGGATTATAAGAGTATATGGAACAGAATTGGCAGATTACATACATAAATCCTCTGCAAAATATATAAAAACAAAAAAAATAAAAAAAATAAGTAAAAAAAATAAAAAGCATTAGTTTGCCTATAATGTTTCTGAATTAGAGAATTAGAGTACAAACAAAAACAAATATTAATAATCAAAAGTCGCTTTATTGTTTACCAAAATATTCTCTATTAAGAGCTGTACACTTTTCCAAGCGTTTCAAACAATTGTAAAGAAGCACCTTTGCCACTCCGATTGAGGAATCGCGTTCTGAACATTGATGCGTCCGCATCAATGAGTGTTTTGGGCGCTCAAAAATTTAGTTGTTTCAGTCTATGTGTGAGAGCCCGTAATGTCATGGTGAACAGTGATCCGTGTGGTCCTACTAGTACCAATACTTGTCTCAATCTCACAGTAAGTCACATGGCAGTGTTCGCAACAACAACTTATTTTGGCCGACCTTCATGAAATTCGTCTTGCGAGTGATCTACGATCTTTATAGGATTTACTAAATCATCAATAAACACTGGTCCTTGATGGAGCTTCATCGCTGAAAATCGAATTAAGTTTATCGAGGTACTGCTGTTGACTTAATACACATCGTGAGTTGTAGAAAATAATCGAGCGAAAATGTTCATAATTTAATTCCACATTTTTTTGGCCCAAATAAATATTTCAAATTACTGTAAACAACACAAATGGCGGCTGCGATAGCCGAGTGGTTAGTATTGCGTACTGACATTCGAGAGACCAAGGTTCGATTTATAGTCTGACCAACATCAAAAAAAAGTTTAGAAAATTAATTTAAATAGAAATTTAGGTTTAGTATAAACAGTAGGTCTCTCCATTTGTTGGAAAAACACCAAGATGTGTAATACACATTGCTGGAGCAGCTCGACCGAAATCTATAAGATATTCCGCTGGAGAGCTGAATTGGACAGGGACTGGGATTGACTTGGCATCGCCGGTTTGCGAAAAAACAGTTTTTTGTTGTTAATTGATGTTGATGTTGTTGTTGTAGCAGTTCTCCAACACCCCTTAGGAATAAGCTAAATAGTCTTAGCCATCGAGCTCATCAAACGGAAGGTCCAGGAAACTATATGTTCCGATGGGAGAATTCTTAGATGAGTTGGTTTCAATGGCCACGCAAAGAGGTGGTTAGTGTCGTGCAGGGACTCATTGCATGCATATCGGTGTCGAGTCTACGTAAGTAAGAGTTTCACTAGCCACAATAACCATATCTTTGTTGCGCCAATATTACGCGGGACTGTCGAGGCGGCTCTACTTCTTCGTCTTCTACGGGTGGAGATTCGACTCCGAGAACGCCATTCACAGGGAGAGAGTTCATGATGAATGTACATCAGTATATTATATGCACATGTATGCTCAACGACCAGCAAAGCACATACGAGGTGTGTTCAAAAAGTATCGCGATTTTTGAATTTTCGCGGGCTACGTATAATCGAATTTCGATTTTTTTGTGGAGTTATGTTGGTACTCATGTCTGTCACTTATGCCGACAAGTTCGGCCATTTTGAATGTTCACTTAATTGTTGACAGCTGCTTTGCCTGCACGTGTTTTGGATGGTCTTCGATTTTTACCTATTCAAAAAAATGGATCAAAGAACCTGCATCAAATTTTGTGTGAAAAAAGAAATTAAGTGCGCGGATGCATTCCGAATGTTGACTGTGACATAAGTAGAAGCTACCTTGGACCGAAGCAACGTTTATCGGTGGTACAAAATTTTCTCAAATTTGTAGGAGAACAAAAGTTGGCTTTTGCACCACGATAACGCCCCTGCTAACACATCGTTGCTTGTGCGCGACTTTTTGGCCAAAAACAACACAATAATGATGCCGTAGCCACCGTATTCTCCAGATCTGGCCCCCTGTGACTTTTTCTTGTTCCCTAAACTGAAGAGGTCCAAGAAAGGACGACTTTACGGCATCGAAGGAGGAGCTGAACAAGATAAAAACAAATGATTTTTTGAGGTGCTTCGAAGATTGGAAAAACCGTTAGCACAAGTGTATGATATCTCATGAGGATTTCTTTGAAGAGGACAAAATAGATATTCACGAATAAATAAATAATAAATAAATTATTTTAAACACAAAATTCGCGACATATTTTGAGCACACCTCGTATGTACAACAACAAAAATATAGTAAATATTTTTCCCGGGAAGCCCTTAATAAACCAACTATATTTTGATTTTTCATTATTTCAACTCTTCCCATAACCAAGCTTTGCAATGTCATTGCACTTTTACCCAATGACAATGGTGAAATGTCTATAATCACATTATACGCAGATTTATTATATTGTATAATTTTATTTTTAGCAACATTCGACAACAAATAAAACATTCTAAATTTTGTTCTACTTTTGTGTGCGACCTTCAAAAACTTTCACCAACTTCTTAACTGAGCCAACAATGAGAAGGCTAATAACAAAAGCATAAGTATGACACAGAGCAAAAGTTTTCGTTTTTTGCTGAAATGGCTAAAAACTGGGTTATGGGGCTTTAATTATTTTCCAAACACATTCATACATTTTTGCAAATACATTTATGTATGTATGTCATTTGGCACGACTTGCGAAAAATCTCCTCGAGCAATGATTTATTGAATTTGTGTGTAACAAATGTAAAAATGCAAAGCCGGTCAACATTAACAGGAGCAGAAAATCGATTTGTCACCAAAAGTGACAGTGGGTGTTAATACTCAGAAGCGGCAATGGCGTGAGAATGGCGCACGAAAGAAGCATGTTTTGTTGTTATTGTTAAAAAGTAATTAAACAGCAATTGTTTAATTGTTTGTTCAGGCACTTGTCATCGTTTAGATCAGCGTAACGAAGTAACCATTGGTCAAGCATACATACATACATATGTATGTGCACATGTATATATGTATGTATTACGTTAAATATCGAGAGTAACAAAGATTTAATGTGGTTTTATTTCTTTAAATTTTTTTATTTTGTTTCCTTTTTTTTGTTTTTTTTGTAATATTTTTTTTTATATCTTTTTTTTTATTTTTTTTTGTTTTATTTCTTTAAATTTTTTTATTTTGTTTCCTTTTTTTTGTTTTTTTTGTAATATTTTTTTTTATATCTTTTTTTTTATTTTTTTTTATAATTTTTTTTATTTTTTTTTTATAATTTTTTTTATTTTTTTTTTATACATTTTTATAGTTTTTTTTATTTTTTTATTGCAATTTTTGTGTTTGCTGCCGACGTGCATGCGCTTAGTAAAATATTTTTACAAATTTTTCATGTGTATATTTCTATGTTTCAACAGATATTCATATTTCGCAGAAGTTTATTTAGCTAAATATAAATTCGTTATATTGTTTGGTGTATACATTTATACATTTATAGTATTTTAGACTTAAGCATATTTCAGTTTGCTTTTAAACAAAAGGAATAAATAGCCATTTATTATTTAATACAGATATACAATAAACAAGGGCATACTATTTTACATATAGATGACCATCACACATTACTGTCACTTTAATAATATTAAAATATATCTATGTATAATAGCTAAACCAAACCACATTTACAGTAGTTATTATATGCAAAAGAAAAAAGAGAAACACGTACACAAAATAGCAGATTCATTCAGATAAGCATGGGCAAGTGTAACTTATTTGACTATATATGTATATTTCATATTCATATTCCGCAAGCACTCATAATCCATATTCTCTTCTTTTTGACAGCCTTTTTTGTTAGCATCACCGTTAGTTGATGTGTTTTTAAATTTACTTGAAGCAGCGCTAAGCAAATGAAATTAGACGTTCACAGCATCTGTCTTTTTCTTTTTGGCGTCAGACTACAAAAATTCATAGCAATTATTTCAACGACTATATAGAATATATTTACGTATGTTTATTTACCTCATCACTGGCACTGCCAATACGTTGTAGCTCGGTTGTAACTTTCGTACCCTTCTCACTGGTTACCACTTGTATAACTTGCCCTGGCCCGTTGCGACTGGGTAGTAGTTTCTTTGCCGAAGTAATACTCTCATTTTCACCGCAACAGAAGACATTCATACTTGTCGGCTTACGATTATCTAAAGTGAAACTATGAAGAAAATTTTTAATAGAATAATCACTTTGATCCATATGTTCAGCTGGCCTTTCCGTCTCATCATCATCATCGTCATACTCTTCATCTGATGGTGAATTATTGACAGATGAGCCGGGATTAGTGTTGACACGATTCAAATATAAATTTTTATATTTCTGTGGGTATGTTGTTAAACGGGTTAGTCCAATCATATACTTACTAAACCCATCCAATAGAAGGCAAGTATAAATAGATGCAAGAAAACTTTTGTTGCATATAAAAAGCCAGTAAATATTAGTTGTTTCATAATACAAGCAACGATAATAATAGTGGAAAACTGTTTCTACAACAACAAAATGTTTATCAAAATTTTAAAAATAACTTATAATGTTTTTTAAGACAACATTGAATTATATAAAAATTGTAAGGCTTTTTTGATATTATTAAACCTACTATAAACTATATGTTTGTGTTTAGAAGATTTAAAAATTCTTTTATGAAAACAAGATATATGATAAATTAGGTTTGTAATACAATTAATTTAATTTAAATATTAGTATGCTAAATATATATGTTGCACAAATGAATTTTTTTTCTTTTTTTGCATGCGGAGATTAGGATGCGCACAATGATTTTATATATACTATATATGATGGATATGACTATATAAAAGCTTTACACCTGAGACCATTTTTTAACATAAACAGATATAAAAAATTTTCAATTCTCCTTAGTTTTTTATATGCAATAAATAATTCAATGAGTTAGTTCTAATTCAACTATACGCAATGTCGGGAAAGTGTATGCTATATATTTAATAATTAGTTTTTGAAAATCGAATTGTCATGCTTTACTATTGATTTTTAATTCTTTTTACTTTATTAGCAGATTTTTTTACAAAACAGCAATGCTAGTTATACTATACAGGAAAACTCTCAATATTTTTATACATTATTAAAACTCACACTCCATTAATAGTTTCCATTTAATTTTTATACGCTGCTGTGTTGTTTCCACGATATTTTTACGCAATAAATTTGTATCAAAACTTTGATTGTTATAAGGCAGAGTAATATTGTTGTTAGGAAGAACAGTATTTACGGCTGAATTATGTCACCTGAAAACTCAGTTTTTCCAAGTAAATGCAAAGTAAATAAAATATATTGTAATAAATGGATATTTTAAATCTACGGAATTAGTAACTTCTTTCAATTAATGTTGATGGTATGATGTTAGTTAATAATTTGAAATATATTCATGAAGTCGTGGTAGAGAAAGAATGATAAAATCACTGTACGTATCCCTATAAAATTCATGCAAATAATTGCTATCCTAATGATAGTTCAGATTGTTTGTGATTCAGTAGTAATTCATGAAGTTTGTTGAGATTTCTTTGAATTATTTATATATTTTATACATATTTGTTTTTCTATATCCTATTATAATCTTTGGCTGCGTATGGTTAATGTATTTGTCTGGTTCACTTACGTTTTACAGTTGAATAATCCTTGCATTTGTATATAATCGATTACCCTATCATCAAGCAAATATTTCACCGACTGTCCACGTGATATAAGCCGACGTATCATCGTTGAGCTAACTTCATTCGGCACCCAATTAGTGATTAGGGTAATATTTTTCTTTGGCACGTAAACAAAGAAGGTAAATGCAGTAATAATTCATAATAAATTCATAATAAACATTTTACCTGATATTTGGTTAATAAATCTGACTCAAAAATGAATTTTTCGGGATTAGCGCCATAACGTGATATTACGACCAGACCGTGATTGCCAACTATATCTTCAATCTAAACAAATAAATATAAATAAATTTTAAATATTTTTTAACATATTTCTCTTATGTTTATCATACATCCTTATCAGCCCATAACCCTGGCACTGCAAATGATTCCAACAAGTCGGCGCCACATAGCAATTTTAGCTGTACACCATCCTGCCGCTCACGTAAACCAGGCGGCATCCAACCCGGCAAAGTACCATTCATATCACCCTCAAGTGGAGAATTTATATAATTATTCATATAGTTCTGGTGATATTGTAAAACAGACAGTGTGCGTGTCCACTCCGCTTGCTGTATTTCCCAATCGGAAGTCTTAAAATATTTTGGAAAAAAAACTTGAAATATAGTCATGACACGTTCATCAATTTCGAGTTTACCTTTATCCATGTAGAGGATTGTAATGCTAATTTTAACATTGCAAATCGATGTGTACCAGCAACAAGTCCTTTCTTCTGATAAGAGTCGTGAGTAGGAGAAACAATTCCGCCGACAACATGATGAGTTCCTTGAGTTTTAAAGAAATCTTTCGCAATCTCTAAATTTTTAAATATATATAAGTTTATATATTAAATATAAAAATAAAAAAAATTATTGTATTTCACAACTTTGTCAAATATCTTACCGAACATACGGAAATGCATAGGTGTTGGCGGACTGAAGGAGCCACACGCAATTAATGCTATCCGAGGCAAGAGCCGTTGATTATTCATTTGATCGTGTTCAATGAGTGTCGACATTATGGTATTATTTATATAATTTGTTATCTAAAAAAAGAAGGAAACAAGAAGAACTAATTTTGCAAACACGGCAATTCGACCTTCGCAAAACAATAAATAAATGAAAGTGCAAGAAAGAAAAGTTGCCATCAATAGATTCGAGGGGTGTTCCTACAATATTAAGAAAATATCATTAGCATTACATACCTTGGAACACACTGTATTATTTTATTATCTTTTTTATTGATTTATATTGATAACTCAGTACAATTGTTCCCAATTTTTACATTAAAAAATCATTTATTTCTCTTTATGTGAATATTTGCTGCTTCAATATTTACGAAATTGAACAAAGCATGTAACTTAAAAACGCGAGCGCCATCTACACGTCTGAAGAAAAAGAAAAAGGCGACTTGTAGCAGAGCTGCCAGGCACCCAATTTCGATAAAGACGAAACTTGTTAATACCGAATGCAAAGACCGTATGTATATGGATACGAAGCGGTAGGGCTCATATCAAGGAACGTATACGAATAACTTTATATTTATAAGTTCTTTGTTTCAGCATCGTTTTTCATTTATGATAAATTCGCCATAACAATTTGACTTTGTTTTATAACAGTTTTAACGAAGTCACCAACTTTAACCGATTTACTAATTATTTATTTCGATAAATTACCTAACAGTACTGCCAACATGCAAAAAGTTATCGAAATGCAAGTGACAACCAAACTGACAGCTTAATTTTTTGTATATTTGGAGTCAGCCGTAATTATTGCAATTGTCGTGCGTTGTGCAAATAGTAATAGTGATTTTAAGTATTTAAAAATGAATTTATGAAAAGTTCTACAGGCGAAAAACGTAGGAAGCTCCGCCAAATGAGCATGGCATTGGTAACCGTGCAGCGTTCACCAAGTGTTACTGGTTCGCCGCCACAATGTGGCTCGGTGAGTTTGTCTGTTCCACAAAGGGAGCGACTTTAAATGGATAGAAAACATTTTTTTTTCACCCTTTTCATATAATTCAATACATTAAATTTGGCGAAAATGGTGTGTTATTAAAAGCTATGTTTAAAAGACGTTCTCTCAATGAAAAATGTGTAGTGCAATGCCTAAAATTAATTTTCTTACGCATATATGAAAAGAGGAGGAGACGTAATGTCCAATGGCTGACTATATGTCTTGTGTAAAAGAAATACAAAAAATACAATACCACAAGCCTACCGCCCCAAAGATATTTAATGGCAATGGCGAATGTAAAAACAATAATAGTAAAATGTAACTATGGTAGCGGAAAAAGAAGATTGTTGTTTTTTTTTTTTATTATGGTGCTATTTATTTGTGAGCTTATTTTCTATATAGTGTAAGTTAGAGTGTTTCAACTTAATGTGTATTTTCTTACATATTTCCCTGTTGCTGTTTTCAGTTGTCGACACAATCAAATCGAAATGTGCAAAAAAGGAAAAGTGCGTTGCGCAAATGCCAAATTATTCACTTCTTTGATTTGTTTCCATTGCCATGTAGTACATACATGCATACACATATACCTTAGCTGACGTTGTCGTTAGCTTCGACGTCGTGATCGTTCGCCCAAACATTGATGATACTGTTTATATCGGTTTTTGTTTTGCTTTTGTTTTATAATATTTACGTATGTATTTTTATATGTATGTATAGCCATACCTATACATATACACGTATGTAAAAGTAAATATGTATATAAAATACGCTGATCGCTATTACTAAATTATAATGATCGATTCATTGTTTTTTAGATTCTTTAATTATTGATAAAAATTATTAGTACTTCCGGTCCTATGGCTAATTAGACATATGATATATTGTACATATGTATTTGGTGCACAATGAGAAAAGGTACCAACAAAAGTAGAAATAATAACAAAATGAGTTTTGCTTCAAATACGAGTACATGAAAAATTAATTATTAACAATTAAAAGGCTTATATCCATCAAAAACTCCTTTGGTCAGAAAATTTCGATTTATGTATTTGCTTCTCGATCCAATTCCTTGAAACGAGGTCATGTCTGTTTTCGGTATTTTGTATATCCTTTAGTGATCCAATACCAAGAGCATATCTGAAGCCATAAGGTTGGCTGTCCAATGGGTTTCTATACAAGATTTACCGCTGTAGTCTACTATTGTTAGAGTTGGCCTGTAAATAATGCAGACAGGTAGACATCTTACAACTCATAACCAAATGTAAACCCTAAAGTAACTTTTTAAGAAAATTTCTCTATCAAACATTAATGTTTTCATATCTCTATATGTTTACATTCGAAGAAAATAAATATTTACAGCCCATAATTTTTCTTGACCTTGTTCTAAACAGATGCAGACGCGCACTTCAATGCTATTTCTACGTTTGCATATTCATGTATTTTACTATATGTTAGTGTGTACATACAAATAGATGCAAATGACAATTACATACAAGTTTTGCTGAAAATATTTCGGTACTGTCCATGAATGGTGTCTTTGTTTTTCTTCATATCATATCAAACCTTTGATTTGCGGGCGTAAGTATGTAAATACATACATACATACATATGCAAGTATGTGTATGCGCTAAATGTTTATGCATTGTTATTCTTTTTATTTACTAAATAAGTTTCCTTGTTTGGTTGCAATTATTTGGTTGTTATGGCAGCACTGATTGTTATCAATGATTGCAATTTTGAGTCTTGCTTATCGTAGGGGTTTCTTATGAGTCACATATTTTACAACCCAATAATTAGAAATATAACGAAGTAGGAATACTATGCTAAAAAGTTTCCTTATCTTAATTTTTTTTTTTAATTCATAAAATATCTACAAATAAAGTCTTAATCATCAAAATTTATTCTTCATATGAAATTTAAATATTTATGTTTCTGTCTTACTAAGCTTACACTTTTTGGGGTTGTTTGATAGGCTTTGATTATTTGTGGGCAAAATTGAATCGCGTAATATAATTTATTTGAGAGAGATTAAGTACTCAAAAAATAGGTGTATTAATATGTTTCCATTGAGTTGAACCCTTTCAAACTGGCTTTGTAACCGAAATATTCTATTGTAATCAATGGCTTTACATTCCTGCGACGTTTTCTTTGTCACTAGTTTATGTACTCATGTGGCTTTAGTTGAATATGATTTGAAATTCATTGCTCATAGCTCGGTTGCAAATACTGCATTGTTTTTTTTTCTGTATTAAAATTTGTACAATATTTATAGGAAGCAGAAACAGAGGACGATGAAGGCAATAGATCTGAAAAGAGGTAATGAAACAATTTGTAACTTTTTATTGCATTATTAAACGTATTTTCATTATTATTTCAGTGAAAGTGCTTTATCGGCTAATGCTAATACATTAGGTATTGTCCTTAAGGATGTACCAGCAAAGACCAATGAACGTCGAGCAAGTACAGATTCAGCGAAATCTACGAATAGCACACAAAGTAATAATTCTGATATACAACAACATTTACAGTCAATGTTCGATCTACTTATGCATGAGGAAACCTTGAAGATGGTAAATAGCTGCGTAGCAAAATTTCAATATTTTCAAACTAACAAATTTTAATTAACATCAAACACAGGCTGTTAAATTAGAGTCTCAACGACCGAATCGCACAAGGTATCTAGTGATTGTATCACGTTGTTGTTATCGCTCCACAACCACCGATCGAAAAAATAAAATAATGCGACATAATTCAACTAAAGCGAATAACGCTATAACATCGGCGAATATCGTTACCAAGCGTCAATCATCCTCAGACAGTATTCAGAGTATGCCGCAACAACTACAACAACAACAGCAGCAGTCACAAACTGAGTCAAGTAGCGGCGGGGAGGAGTCCACAACAGATGCTCAAGAGAAGCGCATATCCAGCGCATCTCTATCAATGAAATCATCTCAACGGCAGAGCCTGAAAAGCGATACAGAAAAAATCAGTGCCTCGGGCGACTGTAGCAAAGTATGCGAGGATGGTGTCGAAGAATCCTGCCTTCTGGGCATTGACTGTAATGAACGCACCACAATTGGTTTAGTTTTGCCTATACTTGCCGATACGACAATACACCTTGATGGTGATGGGTAAATTCACTGAACTCAAGTACACTTTATTAATTAATTATTCGTTTTTTTTTTTCTTTAACTAGTGGCTTTAGCGTCTCAGTATTTGGTAAAACACATATTTTTAAGCCTGTCTCAGTGCAAGCTATGTGGTAAGTTCATGTTAAAAAATATGCACCATTAAATACATTCAAAGTAATTTTACCTTGACATCAGGTCTGCATTACAAACTCTACACAAAGTATCGCAAAAGGCTCGTGAGAATAATTTTTATCCACGCGGACCATCGCACGATTGGATTACGTATTATGATAGCCATATCGAATCAGACCAGTCTTGCCTGAATGAATGGAATGCAATGGATTCAATAGAAAGTCGACGCCCTCCGTCGCCAGATGCCATAAGAAATAAGTAAGATTTTTAAAATATATATTTTTTTTTATTTTTTTCATACGAATTACATACATATATTTTTTCCTAACATTTTAATTCTTAGACCAACCGCAAAGGAAGAAACTGAAAGTGTTATTAAAATGAAATTAAAGGAAATAATGATGTCTGTAGATTTGGACGAAGTTACTTCAAAATACATACGCGGTCGGCTTGAAGAACTGCTTGATATGGATTTGGGCGAGTTCAAGTCGTTTATTGACGCCGAAATGTTAACTATACTGGGTCAAATGGATGCTCCAACAGAAATATTCGATCACGTTTATCTCGGCTCGGAATGGAACGCCAGCAATTTGGAAGAGTTGCAAAAAAATGGGTTCGTTATATGATACAGATTTGTTTTATATGCTCTGATATAATTCAAAATATGAATAATTAATACTTTTTCGTTTCCACTCCAGGATACGCCATATTCTTAATGTAACACGTGAGATCGACAACTTCTTCCCAGGCGTATTTGATTACTTTAATGTAAGAGTATGTGATGATGAAAAAACGAATTTGTTGAAGCATTGGGATAATACATTTCGCTACATAACACGTGCCAAGTCGGAGGGCTCCAAAGTATTAGTTCATTGTAAAATGGGTGTCAGCCGATCGGCTTCCGTTGTAATCGCCTACGCCATGAAAGCCTATAATTGGGAGTTTAAGCAGGCTTTGCAACATGTAAAAGGAAGACGAAACTGCATAAAGCCGAATAAGAATTTCCTTAATCAATTGGAAACTTACCGCGGTATGCTGGATGCAATGAAGAATAAGGAGAAATTGCAACGCAGTAAAAGTGAGACGAATTTGAAAAGCACAAAGGACGCACGTCTGTTGCCAGGTAGTGAGCCCACGCCACTCATACAAGCGCTTAACCAGTCTAAATCAAAATCAACCGGTGGACGAGAAGATGCAAATTGTGGCGACAATGTTAGTTCAGGTACGGATGGTAATATCTTAGGCGAAAAAATTGTTGGAAGATCAAAAGTGTCGGCAGTCATCAGTGGTGACGGTGCAAACGAAGCCAAGCAACGTCGCATGGTGCGTCGATCCAGTAGCACATCACCGCAGGCGGTGCCACACGTGCCACATATGACTGTTGTTATTAAACAACAAAGCCAATCGTTGGAAAACCTAACGCCAGAAAGGAGTGTGGCTGAGGAGCCGAAAAATATGCGTTTTCCGGGAAGTAATGGCGAAAATTACAGTGTCACTCAAAATCAGGTGCGACACATACAAAAAAACGTACAACCACCGCCACCACCACCACCGCCTCCACCAGTAAACCCTTCAGAAGGTCAGCAAAAGCAAAAGCAGCAAAAACAACAAATTGCATCTGTACGTACACGAGTACAGAATCTGGAGACACACACTAATACCCGGAAGACAGCCGACGATCGTAGATCGCTTAACTTACAGTTTGGTCGTTCAGTATCACACGATACCGGCGCAACCGCAAGCCGAGTGGAAATGTTACCTTCGTATGCCGGCGACAGCACAATACAGAGTGAGCACAGCCCCGTTTGGACATGTTCGGCCAAACTTATTACACAAACTTCAAACTTGAAAACTGACGGTGGTGGTGATGAAGGTATCGCTGATACATCATCGCATGTGGATCGCGATACTTTGGATATTTCCAATTGTATTACAATGGATGCATCACCGACTGAGCCTAAACGAGAGGAGGTAAGGCGTCACAGTCGTAAAACTCAATCATGGACTGCAGTCAGCGGTACAAGTGACTTTGGTGGCGCCAGCAGAAGTGGCGGCATAGTTTTGGATCGTCTCAACGTGCTGGTAGCGGCTACAAATGCCGGCAACTGTGGCGCCAACAAATTGGGCTCCAATAGCAGTATTGATTCGATCTCATCGAGTGTCTCGTCTTCGGCGACTACCACATTTGAAGAGCGTGTGGTACCACGAACACATAGGCACAGGGATTTGCCCTCACGGCATGCCTCCTGGGGTTCAGGCGATACGCGTTGTGCTGCCCCAGTGCGCAACAGTTCCTGGTCAGCGTACGATAGTAATCGCAACTCTTGCCAATATGGCGGCGGCGCAATAATCGAGGGTCAAATACATGAACTTAATATCAATAAGAGCAACAAGACTGCCACATCCATTTACCCGAGTGGAACGACACAACATGTGGGCACTGTGAAACGCACGAAACAGAAATTAGAACAATGTGGAGGCGCTTGTAACACTCACACACTGAAAAAGCTGTGCCCAGAAAATGGTGAGCGTTTGACTGATGAGACCACGCTGGGTATCAATGTAAAACGTAGCGCCAAAGGTGCCACTAATCTGTTTCGTAGCGCCTCTGCGGCCGGCTCTACACGCGCCCGCTCCACACCGTTCCGCTGTAATAGCGTCGAAATTGTGCCTGGAGGTACAACCGCTGCTATAGGTGGCAACAACGCTGACACAGAAGCGATGACCTGTCAAATGGTTATGCGCCGCAGTGATGGCAGTCGCCCGTTGCACAATGATTTATTCACTGCTTCCTCTGCGCCGGAATCGTACACAATATCCGATATTGAAAACAAGAATATGCCACCACTTCAAAGTACTGACACAACCGCAGCCTTGGATCAGGCTACCGTTGATGAAGATGAAGAGACAGTAGTGATGCGTGGTAATGCAGGCGGCAGCGTAAACGTTACTGATCAACGTGTCTCCGGCACTGTGCAAATACTCAAAAAGAATTTTGAGGCGAAGGCAGGTAGTAGTGGTGGCAGCACGAGCAACACCGCGACCACAAACGTCTTACAAATACAAACTGCAGTTTTGCCTGCGAAGAAAGGCCATCACTCATTGCCTTCTTCGCCAGTAGCGCAGCATGTGGATCCACATCAGGCCCACCAAAACAATCCGCATAGCACAACTTCGACAACACAAAATCCCACTGCAGCGGAACTGTGTGGAGATGGGATCACTGCTGAAATAATTGATACCGTCACTACGGAAAAAAATATAACACATCCTGTGTCGACGCCCGCCACCTTTACTGCTTCTACGGCGATAACTGCAACGACGTCATCGGCATGCTCATCTTCATCATCCACATCCTCTACATCCAGCATGTGTGAGTCATATGTGGACCGAAACGTCAAAGTATTGGTGCACAAATACCAAACACCAACAACAAAAAATGATGTCGCAATCGGCTCCAACCCAATATCATCAAGTATGTCCTCGTCATCCGCTTCAACATCTTCTTCATATTCAGTACCACCCACAACGTTGGTCTCTGTGGCTACAGCTACAACACACTGTAAGCCCCGCCGCCACTCCTACTACGAAAGTGGTGGACATGCGTCGCACAAAACTATGTCGATGGGTGGTGGCAGGAGCGGTGTCGCTGGTGGTCGTTTGGCACATGAATATAGTGATAGCAGGCCACCACCTGCTCCAGCCAAAGTTACCCAAGCAACGCATACCAACATTGCTCAGACGTCAACCGCAGACAATACGCAACAGCCGCAACAACAACAACAGCGTCGCTTGCAGCAACACGGCCGCACGCATCCACTCAGTAGGTTAACGTTACCAAAACAAAGCTTCAATGCAGCCGCATACAATACCATGTAGATTATATTAATAGCGTTGCCGCACCCGTCCCCTTTTACCCGATACTGTGTTAGGTGTACTCATGTGTATAATGTTGTAAAAGCATTTTCTCCATAATGACACCCTACCCGCCCACAAAAAAAAAAAAGAAAAAAGCTAAAAACTCATACACACGCACTAGCGCTTCGGTGCGCACTTGAAAATTAAAACAAGCAATAACAACAAATGTTTTTGTGCTTAAAATATCGGCAAAAGAAATTCATTTAATTAGAAGCTAACTCATATCTTAACATTTCTCGCGCTAACGCTTCTCTGCATTTCTAAGCATTTGCTAAACAAGTCCGCATTGCTATTTTTTTTCTACTAAATATGTACATATCTAGGTATTTTTCGCATAGTAAAGAAAAAAACTGATTTTCTGCTCGCATTTCCTTTTAAATTCCTTGTTAATTATTTTATATTATCCACTGCCGGCGCGAAATAAAAAAAATATGAATTAAAAAATATGTTTGCCTTCCAACCGCATCGGTATCGGCATTCGAATTTTATTTAATAATATGAGTACCAAAATTAACTCGCTCGATAAAATGGAATTTAAGTTCAAGTGCACTTCATTACTCATAGGATAGGAATATATGTATGTATGTATGTATGAAAATTTGTAACACTTTTTGTTATAAAATTAAATTAACTTTTGCTTGACGCTTTCGTCGTTTACTTGCAATTTCATTAAACGGAAGATTTGTTATAGTTTTGTGTGTGTGAGTGTATGTGCGTGTGTGTGTGTGTGTTTGGGTGCGTGTGTGTGGGTGTTTTATGCTATTCTACATTATGCCTCCACCTCACATCATCAATTTCTACGCTTGGCCATCGCGTTTGTAGCCCATTCAAAAACAAAAACAATTACTAGTGTTGTAATATTATGTTGCCGCTTATTTGTATTCATTGCTAATACGTATTTTTAATTATAAACAAACACCTCATCTGTCTATCCATCTCGCCATCTCATTTCATTATCCTTTTCGCGTATCGCCTCTCTATCATCACTATTATAGTTATCACATATGTATGTATGTATGTATGCCGATTTTTAACTAAATCTTAATTATTTATAAACTTAATGATCGCATTTGAAGATTTATGTATGTTTGTATGTACTACTACTACTACACTACTACTACATAGCGCTTTTTACCATTACCATTGCCGTACTGTATTTGTATTTTAATTATTATTACATACATATGTATAAGCATTTGCATTGCAAACTCGGCACATTTACCACATTTCTATCTTATCCTCCACCTACACACATACACCGAACACACAAACCAAACAAACACAATACCGTTATATTTTGAAAACGAAAAATCGAAAGCACATTGCAAGAAATAAATCATATACATACATATAAATTTCAAATAAAATGCAACATAAAGCATAAAATATAAACTATAATATATTTAAAAGTAATGAAAGAAAGAAAAAATCAACAAATCATAACATTAACTAATTAGCCAGCAACAAAAAAAAAGCAAATATTTTGTAAATATTGTAAGATTTTTTCTATTTTTATGTTTGTATGAACAAATGGTTTTTAAAATACCTATTAAAGCTCATATTGAATACGAAATATTTTTGAGTTTGGCAATTTTCTTTGAAATAGTTATGGAGCATGCAGTATAAGAGATTTACATGTGTTCTGAGCAATTCAAAAAGAACGAATGAAATAAACTTCTGTTGACCGAGTGACCAGTTGTGTGTCCTTCTATGCGGAGGTTCAATCCAGGCCAACATGCAAAATTAAATACTTACTAGCAGACCCAGCGAACTTCGTCTCGCCATAATTACATTCTTTTATATTACATTAGGAGTGATAATAAAATATATGTAGATAGTTCATATCTGAATTTGATTTATTTGAATGAGCTCGATCAGCAAGCAAGAAGAAACATGTTTTGTTGTCAACTCGCGAACATGGGCAATTCTCATAAAATTACTTAAATTAAACCAAGCGATTTCAGATGAGAAAAGTTCAAGAAGCCCATACGAACAATTGTCACAGCGCTCGCTATGGAATTGTTCGGCTTTTACGCACTTAAATGCAAAGAAACCGATCTCGAATATGCACGGGAGTACTTTTCAACAAAGCTTTTGCTTAAGTCAACGAATGATGCCATCTATCGGGTTATGGAATGAACCAAGCCAATCAAATATCTGCTCAGTGACTCTTGGTCCACTTCCGAAAACTTTTATAAATTAATCCGAAACATAGAAACGATTTTTTCGAATAGATCGGCCCTTGGTACTATTCCTGGAAACAAAGGTGATGTTCCAGCTAAACTAAGCAAAAGCCTATCTTTGTATCGAATTTCAAGAAAATCGAACTATAACAATTTTTTAATAGATCATAACGTGGTCCGCTTCCGGGCGTGAAGTGCAGTTTTCATGTCAGTCTTAGCAAAACACCACCTATGTACCGAATTTCAAGTAAATCGAAACATAAACATTTTTAATAACACCGTCCTTGGTTCTGTTCCCGGAGAGAAGTATAGTATTCATGTTAGTCTTAGCAAAAAGTCACCTATGTACTGAATTTCAAGAAAGTTGACTTATAAATTTTTTTGAATAAGTCGGTTCCTGGTCCTCTTCCCGGAGAGCAGAAGAGTCTTTCTGTTAAATTAAGCACAGAGGTACCTATGTACCGAAAATAAATCAAGTAAATCGAACCATAAATAAGATGTTTTTCGAATAAATCAGTCCCAGGTCTTCTTTCCAATTTGAGAAATAGATAACAACCTTCACGCAGACCTAACGAATATACATACAAAATTTCATCGGTCAAAGCCGTTTCGGAGGAGTATGTCCTCGTACACTATGACAGAAGAATTTTATATATTAGATGTATTGTACATACATACATAAAATGGTATACTTACTTTGGTACACGCATGTAAGTAACAGAAGGAGAAGAAATAGACCCTATCTTTAGCCACGTCTGTTTGTACGCAAACTAGTCCCTCAGTTTTTGAGATATCACAAGACCAGATCAGACCAGTATAGGATGCATACGAACGATTTTTCAGATTGAGAAATTTGTCAAAGAGTGTGGAATTTGGTTTTCTCCACATATATATGATGAATTATGCATTAGTGCTAGAAGTTATCGGAATCGGTCGCCTGTAGCTCCCATTCACCGAGTTTTTCTGATATGAGGCTTTGGTTAAATTTGCGTCAAAAGAGCATGAACAGTATGGAATGTGGATATTATACTTTCGTATCTACAAATAAAGACTGCCACCGAAAATCACCGAAATTGGAGGACTTTATCATATAGTCCGCATAGAACCGATTTGTTCAGATATTAGGTTTTGGGTCAAAAATCCGTTAAAACAGCATGTTCAAGGGTGATATTTTTCATTTTACAAACATATATGTAATGTACATATAAATAAGCATTCTCACCAAAAATCATCGAATTCGGTAAAGTTCATCATATAGCCCTCCAACCAAGTTTTCAAGTATAAGAATTAATATTTTAATAAAGACAACTGTCAAACCCCCTCCGAATACGCTTCTGCCAAATCCTTTAATTATTCGAAGCCTAAAAAGGGAGCTAACGCTTCAAGCGAAGAGAGAATCATTTATAATGAATTATCAAGATTATAACAGTTTTGTAACATATCGTTGGCTGAAAGATGGGTGTTGTTTTTGTACTTTATTGATATTTCAGAAACATGTGCATTGTCCGAATTTCGACACAGTGAGATCGTGTATAATATGCAAAATATGTTATTAATTTTTCTGAAGGTTTTCACTAGAATATTCATGTGTTTATATGGTAAGCTCTGCTAACGTTAGTTAGATAAAAAAATATATATCTCAGTCAAATTGAAAAGAGCTTTTCTCGACCAAAAAAAAAATCATCTTCATCCTTGTAAACATATGTATGTATAGGAAAAACTACAATGAATGTATATCTACGAACGCTGTCGCGGTAATTCAAGCTTTGCCGCCGACAGAGAAAGGAATTGAGCTCTTCGTCCGTTTCAACGAGACGCAGGTACCTTCGTAACGTATTGTATTTTAATTTGTTTAGCTTAACCGTTATTAGCCTATTTTAGCTCCGGAATTCAGTACCATATTTAATATACAACAAACATACTGACATCACTACTAATTCAATTTCAGATTATGATAATTTGCTGTGCGTGGGCGGTTTCAATTTGAAACATTTCTTTCAAATATTTTTTTTCGTTAAAAAGAGTATTTGTTACCAGTGTTTATTTCAAATCACTATCAGTGTTGTGGTGGCAACCCAGATGACCGTTGTTTAAAAGGCATCACTGGTCCGCACCAAATCGACGTCATTTGTCAAATTCTCGTTTTCGACTGTGCCTTTTGGTATGATTTTTCAGTTTTCGCGTTGAAAAGTTGAAAATTTGTTTAATTTTGCAGCGTAAAATGTACATCGCGAAATTCTAAAGCAATAAGCGATCAACGGGAACGGGGTAATTTAGAGTTCATTGTGTGAAAACAGTGAAAAAGTTCTCTAGTACGTGGCGTTAAGTGATGTGCTAATTTTGTATTCCTTTTTTTCTGCTTTTCTCGTTTTTCTCAATATTGCCCTGTGTGTACATTTGATTGTGTGCTGAACTTTATACATTGGTTGATTATTGGTTGTGTTGTGGTTGCGGCGGTGTTGGCGGCGGTGGCAACGATATTGGTGCAATTAACAATTTGTTGTGTAAAAAGAAAAGTGTGATTGAAAGAGCAGCTGGACCGGTAGGAATACCAAGGGAAGCGAAAACAATGTCGGACATGGTTCTTAACAAGCCGACTCCAGAGAGGAGTGCCACTAGCAGTAAAGATCCGGAAATGAAAGGATGGCTAATGAAATGGACCAATTATATTAAAGGTTATCAGAGACGATGGTTTGTTCTATCCCGTGGTGTTTTGAGTTATTATCGTAACCAAGCTGAAATGAATCATACATGTCGCGGTACTATATCGTTACACGGTGCTCTTATACATACCGTAGATTCGTGCACTTTTGTTATCTCGAATGGTGGCACTCAAACGTTTCATATAAAAGCTGCCAATGAGGTAGAACGACAATCCTGGGTAACTGCATTGGAATTAGCCAAAGCAAAGGCAATACGTACTATGGAAACGGAAGAGGAGGAAGAAGTTGAGACATCGCATGTTATTCCCAGTCAAGAAATCAACACCGTTATTGCAGAACTAACAGGTCGTTTGGAGAGCTTGCGCACCTGTTACGATTTAATAACTAAACATGGTATTGCATTACAGAGAGCGCTCAGCGAATTAGAGGCGAATGACGAAGAATCACTAGCCAGTCGCACAAAGATCGTTAATGAGCGGGCTACGCTGTTTCGTATTACTTGCAATGCTATGATTAATGCATGTAACGATTACCTGCGCAGTGCTGAATCGCAAGGCCACAAGTGGTCGAAAATGGTTGAGCATGAACGAGAACAACGACTACGATTGGAGGAAATGGTTGAGATGTTAGCCAAACAGCAAACTCGCCTCGAACAGGCCGCACATACAGCAGCGCAACAGAATAAGCCGATAGCAAAATTAAATGAGAGTGCTACCACACCGAATGCAGTTACTTCTGACGACGAAAACGAATTTTTTGACGCCGAAGAGAATAACGGAGTGTTCGGAGATAATTCGCCAAAAGAAGCTGGAGGATTTGTAATGACATTGCCTTCAAATAGGGGTAATAACAAAGGTGACGATGTCGAGGATGGATCATTTGTTATGAAGCTACAAAAGACTCGCTCTAATTCAGATGAACAAACACAACATAGTAGCTCTTCCGACAATGAAGAACAGAAACTTAACGAATCCGAGCCTCAACAAGTGGTTGTAATAAGCCGCTCATCAGAACCTAGAAGTTCACAACACAAAAATGGAAATACACAAAATCAAAATGTTTCACAATTAACTAAAACTACCAGGCAGCGGCGTACACGCGTACCAGACAAACCAAACTATCCGCTCAATCTGTGGTCGGTAATGAAAAATTGCATTGGCAAGGAGCTATCGAAAATTCCAATGCCAGTTAATTTTAATGAGCCACTCTCAATGCTACAGCGTCTTACCGAAGACTACGAATATGCAAACTTATTGGATTCTGCTGCTCGTTGTACGGATGAATGTGAACAACTGGCGTATGTCGCAGCCTTCACAATTACCAGCTACGCAACAACAGCAAACCGGACGGGAAAACCATTCAATCCACTCTTAGGTGAGACTTATGAGTGCGATCGTATGGATGACCTTGGATGGCGGGTTCTAGCTGAACAAGTGTCACATCATCCCCCGATGGCTGCCCTACACTGTGAAGGACGTGAGTGGTCATGCTGGCAGGAATTCACCATGACTAGCAAATTTCGCGGAAAGTATTTGCAGGTAAATAATGCACATAAATTAAGTAGTAAAACAAGTAGTTCCTACTATAAAATGTGTTGTCTTTTTCAACATTGTAACCCAGCAATATATATATGTGCACAGGTACATACATACATATTGTAAATTTTTTTCCAATTTGACTGCATTTCGATATTGTGCATTCAAACAAAACACATACATGCATACATACGATTTCCTACATATGTACATACATATATGTATATGTATGTAGTTGGCGAAATAGCTTTAATTAAATAACGATGTCGCTCATAGCACGCAATTTGAATAATTTGTACAAATAACTTTAATTTATTGTTTGTATGTATAAGTATGATAATGAATAACCCGGTTGATAAATCGAATGACTAAATTTGGAATTTTAAATTTTATTGTATTTACTTATTTGCAATTTATTGGAATCTAGGATTTTTTTAAATAAAAATTTCGTTAATAAAAAAAATATAAATAAAAAATAATTAAATTCAATAGCCAATATATTTTGTTAAGTACCTACAATACGAGCCTTAAAATATATTTTCAAATGTAAAAACGATACTTACAAAACCAAAAAAAAATTCGAATTTGTAAACAAATTATTAACCGAATACATAATCGACTTCTGAAATATATGAAAAAATCCAAATGTTTAGCGTCAAACATCGGACCAATTTTATTGACTATATATCTTACCATCTATTTATCAATATTTCGATCTTAAAAATATGCATACATCTTGTGCGGTAGACTGCTGGACTTCCCAATTGGACCAGTTCAATTTAAAATACAGATAGGTCGCATTAAAGTGTGGTGATTTTTTCAATTCATTGTCGAAGGTAGCCCATTTGTGTGTTTATAAGCATAAATTCGCAACCTTTGAATTAAGTTTAATTAGTTACTAATAAAAAATGTACGAGATTGAAATGAACTTTCCACTACTTTTAGGTCATTCCTCTGGGGAATGCGTACGTAAATTTCCCAGCAACTGGTCATAAGTACACGTGGCGCAAAGTAACAACGACTATTAATAATATTATCGTCGGAAAGTTATGGGTCGACCAACATGGTGATATGGAGATCAGAGGACTCAATACCGCATCGGGTCTCACATGTCATCTAAAATACATTGCGTATTCATATTTCTCACGCGAACAGCAACGGCGTGTTAAAGGTGTGATTATGGATCGAAATAAAGAAGTCAAATGGGTGCTGCGTGGCACTTGGGATTCTTCCATTGAAATTGCGCCGGTGCTTTCCACTTCAGGTTCGATCGATAGTCCAGTTTACCAGACTAATGGTTATAAAACGGTGTGGACTCGTAAAATGCCGCCACCAGACAGTGACAAATACTATAACTTCACCACGCTGGCAGCGCAATTGAATGAACCCGAAGAAGGTGTCGCACCTACTGACTCTCGTCTACGCCCCGATCAACGGTTGATGGAAGAAGGTCGATGGGATGAAAGCAATCGTGAGAAATTGCGACTTGAGGAGAAACAGCGCAGAAAGCGGCGAGAACGTGAATCTGAAGCTGAAGACGCATCAAATCAGGGTCGGCCATATCAACCATACGAACCGTTATGGTTTAGGCGTGAAAAAGAGGAGGGAAGCGACAACTTGGTGCATGTTTTTAACGAATCCTATTGGAAGCACAAGCAAGATCAAGATTGGTCTCAATGTCCTGATATATTCTAAATATAAAAAAGAAACAAAACACGTTTTTACCAAAAAGTTACAAAGCGAATTCAAATATAGTAATGAGAAATAAAAAAAAGTTGAATTACAAAATTTAAATAAATTAATATTAAAGCAAAAGTAAAACAAAGCATAAGAAAATATCTCCACATAAATATGTAGAAAAATATAGAATACGAAATTGCACTCTTACGAATACTTTTACATGAATAAAAAAAAAACAAAGTTAATTAAAGATAAAATTAAACTACGCTAAAAAAAAAAAGTACTAAAAAAGTGAAATGGCTGTCCTTTACGTGACATAAATATTTGAAAGTTTATGAAAATATAAGAAAAATTTAATTAAAACCAAAAACGTTACCTACATTTCTTTAAAAAAAAAAAAAAAAACCTCAGCATTTGTTTTTCTTATACTTTTTTGTTTGTAAGAATTATTACTATGAATAATGCGCTTAGAAATATTGGCAAAACAAACAAAAAATTGGGAATAAGAGACCCAGAAATATTATGTCTATGTATAAACATAAACGAAAGCAGAAATAAAAGAATACCGTACAATAAACAATAATCTCGCAATTTGTTAGTTTAAGTGAATACCTGCGAATAGCTCTTGGTATTTCGCAATTTATTGCTGCGAACAAAATGCGATATATCGACGGTGGCGTACCATTTGTCGTCATAAATACGAGTCAAAACTTACATACATACATACTCGTAATATGTAAATGGATGTGATTGTGCAGCAAAAACGTATGCAAGAAATTTTCACTATACTGCACTAAATAATAAATGTCAACTCTTAAACGCTACTCTATTCTACTTTACTCCACTACTTCCTATTCGTGATTGTATTGCCTAGTTTGTAATGAAAATGTTTTTTCTTTCTTTTTAATGTAAATAAATGCAAATTGCAAGCTAAGAAATATGTTACATGTTAATATCGAAAACAATTATTATTATTATTATTATCATTATTATTATTATTGAAACTATATTGTAGTATTAATGAAAAAAACAACAACAACAACAAAGCCGAACATCATGGTTAAATAAACACACATACACAAAAAAAATTGCTTAAAATACTATTTTTGTTTCATAAGTTTTTTTCCCTTTTTTTGACTGTTCACAACTTCTGCTTTATTACACTATTTACGACCAATGCTGCTATTAGATTAAAAATGCTTAGAAAAGGTGATTAGTAAAATAAATTCATATAATTCTGCAAAGATCTACACCCTAAACCCTAGGCATTAAACTCATACATACTATGTACGTCTTGTGACTCACGAACATCTGCGAATTTGTTATTGTGTCTACTTGTATGTATGTACATTGTATATGGTCTGTGCATGCATTTGTTTATTCGCTTGACCATTTTGAAAATGCTACTGTTATTAGAGTTGTAAACCGATAACAGAGTTCAAAGCTAATTTTCAATAAATATACGTATGTGCATGTACATACATACATATATCATACGTTTATTACTGTAGGCAAATTGATTATTACTTAAGAAATCATATAGTCTAATTAATAAACACAAACTTCTTGGGAGATAAGAATCAGTATTGGTTTAAGGCGAAAATAAAAAGCTCTAATCTTAATATTAAAACCAAATACCTTTAAATTAGCAAAATAAATTAAATTGAAACTTATATTTTTCAATTGCAATGAAAATTTTTGCGGTTTGTCATGAAATATTTGTAGAAAGCAGACACTAACAGCTCTGAAGTCGTGATTGGTGGCGTACATTCTCAATAATACACTTCACAGAAAAAAAAAATCGTGTGCAAACTGAAATAATTGTCTACTAATAAAAAGCCATAAATCAACATTTTACTTCATTTAAAAACAAAAAAAAACAAAAAACAAAGCTAAAGAATCGTGCTCAAAAGATAGTAGGGTCTTACGTTAAAACTATATATATATATATACATATGTATATACAAAATAAAGGTTTTGTTAATATCGTTCCGCCTGCGTGTTATCAGTTTGAAATATATATGTACATATGTGTGTATGTAAATAGTTCGGGTATTGATTTCAGATACAGTAACTGCAAAATTTACACAAAATTTTCGTATATATTATAAATTAAATTGATGTCTCTATCCTTCAGTGCGTCAGCAAGAGAAGTATGCAATTGACATGCAAGTGTTTGTAATGATGGGGAAAAATTGGTACTGAAAAATAATTTGATTCGTAAAGCGCGCACGAAAGACTATAACCGAATCAAATAAAAACACCTTTTCACTTTTAATCTCTCCCTCAGTCTCACATATACCTTGCAAGCCAAGAAGAGAAATTCCAACAAACGGTTTTCCAATAAAGAAAAATTGAGTTACATACTTTGATTTCAAAGCATATTTAGTAAAAGCTGGCTTTAATTAATAAAAACAAAAAACCAAAGGTTTTGTAGATATTATATATATACTGTTCTTAATCATAGGAATTTTCTCTCCTTAATTCAATCAAGCTTGCAACTTTGGGCTCACTTATTCAGCTATATTTCTTAAATAGAATGGAAAAAACATATACTATATTCGATTTTTTAGAATATTTTGTTTATTTTTCCCCCATCACAGTGTGCACAAAACCAAATACATCTTCATTTATTTTATCAATTCATAGTTTGTGCTGTGATCGAGCGCAGCAAGTGGTTTACAATGCTACTAAGCGAATACTCAGCTGCTTTTCTACAATTACATTTCAAACCATTTCTTATTTTTTTCGTCTATACTACAAATTATCGTATTATGAACTGGCGTTTTTACATGCACATATACATATATGCAATATAAATAAAAACCATTTTCATTTCATTCTTATATGTTGCAAATAATTAAACTAAAAACAAAACAAAACAGATGCGATTGTGTCACATTAATCATTCGGTATGTAGTTATGTATATAACGCCATTTATATATCACCAGTTGTCTGCGTTTTGTTTAGTATATTTAAAGATTTAAGCAATGCTTCCACTGAGGGATCGCGTCCACGAAAACGGCGAAATACTTCTGCTGTTGGCACAGAACCACCCAAGGCTAAGAATGTTTCCTTGAAGCGTTGCCCAGTCGTTGCTACCTCAGCATCAGATTTACCTGCAAACTCCGAACTAATATCAGCCGCTATTACTTTTGAATAAAGATGACTGAATTGAGCAGCAGCCCAATCGCCGGAGAATATTTCCGTCATGGAACAAGGATGGGCATCCTTTTTATCTAGAGGCATGCAATGATAGACGGGCCATAGCTTTTTCACCACATCAAGCCAGAATGCATCTGATTGATGCAGTTCAATATCTAGGTCAGCAAAGTAAAGTTCCTGACAGAGGTTAAAACCAGCCAGACTTGTCTTGATTAAAGGAATTTTTTGAAATTCATTATCGGATAAGGCCTCTTTGCTTGTATAATGCTGAGAAAGTTGTTTTAAAGTCGCTGGATTATCAAGGAAATTACACATAACATTTCCCGCTACTTGAGATGCGTCCCATTCAATGTTAGAAAGACCAGCTAGGTCTGTGTATGGTGCCTTAGTAAGTAAATGTTGCAAAGCTGAGCCGAATGTTTTGAATACCATATGCAGGTCATCGAAGCTAAGCAGGTATGGTGTGCCTTGCGATGGCTTCGTAAAGTTAAAGATTAAAGCACACAAGGGTGTAAGCTCTGCAGAAGTATTGCGGTTTCGTATGCTCACCATCCAGCCGTTATTTTTGCCAAACTTATTCTCTTTGGAATAACAATCTATATAAAAGCCACCAACTGGTGCTACTCCACCACTATTATCGAAAACATCATAGTATTTTACAGCGGGTTGCCAAACCTCCACATTCTTACGTTCAACGATACGAATATTGAACAAATCCTCGCTTAGTTTAAAAAGCCCTGAAAATACGTTTGGTAATGGGAAATATTCGCGTAGATTTTCTTCGTTTAATTGATGGTTAGCTATTAAATGCTTGCGTTGCCAGTAAGCGACATCATACACATCCAATTTATTCTGAAATCCGCTGTCGATCGCAAAGTTTTGCAGTTGTTCAATTTCAGTTGATTGTGCAGGCCCGGCAAACTTTAATAGGTTTGCAAATATTTGTTTTAAGTTGTCCACACTTTTAACCATCTTCGTTTGCATCGACATTGCTGCGTAGGTGGGGTAACCTGAAATGAAAGGTTTTTTTTAATTACAAATGATATAATGAGTTGATTGTGTTGTTGTAATGCATTTATTATTTTACTTTATTTTTTGGTGATTATTACAAACCTAACAAATTAGCTTGTCGTTTCCGCAGAGACCTTATACCCTCCAAATGCGTACTGTTTTCTAAACTGCGTTCTTGCTGTCCCGATGCTTTTCGTACATTGGCCTGCCAGACATTCCATCTCTGCATACGGTCAGGGCAGTATTTTAAAAATCCCTCCACAATTTGTGGTTGTAGAGTTATCTTCCAAGGTCCTTGAGTTGGTGAAGCAGGATCTTTCGATATTGCTTCTAACAATGTCACAGGGAAATCACGAACCAAGTTGAAGTCTTTTATGCCGTGTCCAAATGTGTGTACAGCCATATTCACCTTGTTTTTAAAACTTGCACGTTCTTTGCCTAATTGTACGAGGATGTCTCTGAGGGTGTCTCGTTTATCTTGCGTATGTGTTAAACCATTTAATTTGCCCTCTAATAAGAAGCGCTGTAGCAAGCGTGACTCTTCGCCTTGAACATTGTCTGAGTGTTGGGAAAGGGCATCATATAGAATTTTACTATTATATTTTGAAGCACGGGCGATTCGTGCACGCTCATGAATATTCATGTATGATTTAGTTGGTATCAATGTGCTATTGCCTAGATAGAGTGCTTTAGCGATACCCCACGTCGTGTCTAGAGGACCTGCAACTCTATCCAATTCTTCAAATATGCTTCGAAGATTACTAACCGATATGTTTTTCTGCTCGATATCATTTTCTAAGCTTTTCACAGTTTTCTCCACTAATCCTGCCTGTTGTCCTATGGCGCCCAGGCAATTTTCAATAGTGATATCACTAAATGCTGGTAATCCATCCGGTTTCATAACAGCATCGGCTGAATGCGTATCTTCTCCAATCTCAGGGACCCTAAGAATATTTAAGCATACATATAAATAAAATTAAAAATAAAACAAATGCATTATCTCACAAAACTATGTAACCGGCATTTCGATTGCTTATGCATTGACAGTTCTTCAAGCTAGTAATTAACCGATTCCGACGTATCACTGTGTACATATTGAAATATTTTCACCAAAAGTTAACAATTGTGAAATCCTTTCAGGTAAATTCAGGAAAATGTAAATATGCAATTTACACAAAAAAGTTTACACAATCAGCATGAAATTGAAATGTCAAAGGGTACAAAATAAACAGCTGATTATGCATGCTAAAAAGTGAAGTGTATTGTGGCTCTCAAACTGTGACAGTGATCATGAATGAACAATTGAGTAAAGGCAATTTTTAATTAAAATATTTTTCAAACGATTCGTTAAGTATTCAACCCAAGCATAAAATATTTTTTCACAAACAAAGATACAATTCGCTGAAATTCAAAAAGTCATTCATCAAGACCATGAGGTGATGATATCAACATAATATGACTTTAAATTTTTTCGATAGAGACATTTCAGAAAAAATTTATAAAAAAAGAATTTAAGATTACAATTAAACACGACATATTCCAGTTGTAAGTAATATGAAAAGCCTTCATTGAAGTTATCAAATGATTGTTACATTTTCAAAAGGACCTATTCCATTATGTAATATTAGAAGTTTTTTTTAACACTTTGAGAGCCATGGTTGCAAACACCGAGCGTAATTATTACTTGCATGGGAGTCCCTGATATAAGATCAGCTGTTTTATCATTCTTGGAGTACCTGTTTGATAACAAAACAAGTTTATTAAATTTAAACCTCAAATCTGCGAGAAAATGTCGATAACGACTAATGTTGCTAGAAAAATACTACGCACACGACTGCCAAATAAATATCGGTCGTACACCACGGTAAACAATGAACCGCCTCGTCGGCGAGTTGTCATTACAGGCACTGGTGCAGTTTCGCCTTTGGCGAATAATGTATCAGAGTCATGGTCACGTATCTTAGCTGGAGAGTCTGCTATAACCAAACTTAGTGACCAATTTAAAGGGCTGCCATGTCAAGTAGCAGCGCAAGTGATCCGCGAGGAGCTGCCGATGGATAAACATTTCAGTAAAAGCGATTTGAAAATTATGAGTGTCGCAACACAATTTGCCATAATTGCAACTGAAGAAGCACTTTCTAGCGCTAAGCTTCAACCAAATGAATTGACAGCAGAACAACGTGAACGTTTTGGTGTATGCGTTGGTATGGGTATGTTTGATCTTACGGAAGTGTATGGTGCGTGGCAACAACTACAACGAGGTTACAATCGAGTAAGTCCGTTTTTTGTACCCCGCCTTTTACCCAATATGGCGTGCGGCCATATAAGCATGCGACATAGCTTACGAGGTCCTAATCACTCCGTATCCACAGCGTGCGCAACAGGCGCACATGCCATTGGGGATGCATTACGTTTCATACGTAATGGTGATGCAGATGCAATGTTGGCTGGAAGTGGTGAATCCTGTATAGATCCACTAGCTATAGCTGGTTTTTGCCGTTTGCGAGCTCTTAGTTCAACACATAATGATACACCAAAGACTTCATCGCGTCCTTTCGATCAAAAACGTGACGGCTTTGTAATGGGTGAAGGTGCCGCCATATTAGTTCTCGAAGAGCTAGAGCATGCGCGAAAACGTGGTGCACCCATACTGGCTGAGCTCTTAGGATACGGGTTATCCGGTGATGCTTACCATATTACATCACCCAGTGAGGACGGTACAGGCGCCACTTTAGCAATGCAACGTGCCATCACTGATGCCAGAGTGCTGCCAACAGATATTACCTACGTGAATGCTCACGCAACATCCACTCCAACAGGTGATCGTATCGAGGCACATGCTATACAACGAGTTTTTGGTGAACATGCTACACAAGTACGCGTATCTTCAACTAAGGGCGCTCATGGACACTTGCTCGGCTCATCGGGAAATTTGGAAACAGTTTTTGTGGTACAAGCCTGTGTGAACAATCAACTGCCGCCATCGATAAATATTGAGCATTTGGATGAAGCGATTAAAGTGCCCATAGTACAGAATAAATCAGAGCAATGGTGTGATAACAACGCGAGTCCTCGGATTGCTTTAAAAAATTCCTTTGGCTTCGGCGGCACAAATGCTTCACTTTGCATTGCAGAATATCGTGAATAATTCCTAAAAAGTGCATTTCAATTATGTACATATTTCCAATTGCCTTCATGAATTCAATGATTTTTGTTATCTAAGTTTAATATTACATGTATGCATGTACATACATATGTACATATAGAAGTTTGTATGTATAAAATGTTATAAATTTAAGATTTATATAAATATATTATTAACAAAATTTAAAACAAAAGGTTATTGTTCTTACAAACTAAACTATACCAACCAATAAACCAAAGAACGAAACATCACTCGACAAAAATCAAATTAACAAAAAAAATTTCGCTTTGATTTAATTTCTATTATGCTTTAGGTTGTAAAGCATAAACAGAAACGCATTTCCCGGTATGTTTTCAAGAAATGGTTCACTTACAAATTTTTTTAGAAGCTACACCAAAAATTTGTACACGTAAGTATGTATGTATGTTATCAAGTCAATTTATTAAACTTGAATGCTTAATTTATTATTGAATTTTGTTTATTTAACGTCCTGAATTCTGGTAGTTTTTGTTAGCCTAATTTTTTCTCGGTGATCGCTTGGACGTGTGAAAATTGTTTGCGTGCGGATTTACTGCATTTAAGTATGTAGATTTATGAATTTTTGCATTTGTTGAAAACATAAAATGATATGCTGAGTAGAAACATTTTTTATAATTTTTTTTTGCATTTAACGTTTTTCGGCTTTTTGGTTTTTGGAATTAGCAGCGAGTGTAGGTTTTTGGGTTTTTTAAAGTGAAGTTATTCAATTAAAACTAAAAACTGCATGCGTTAAGCTGAAGACAAGCTAATATTTATAAGAACAAAATTGTAGTAAAAGTATTTTATATTCAAGAATAATTATAATTTTCAAAAATCCATTTTTTACTAAATACTCATATACGAAGTGAAGCCGAAAACTAAACTAAAATTTAGCATGGCCGCAAAATGCTATATATTAATTTTATTAAGTAACCCACGAGGCCTTGTTGTTTGTATGAATTGAATATTTGTTATACAACAAAGAAAAAATGATAGAAGTGACAGCTATTTCGGAGATTACTACATCTCCTCATCAGACTTCTTATGGCAGGGATCGAACCAACGGATCCTGACTTAACAGGCGAGTGTTCTACCACTACGGCCACATCAGCCATATAATCTGTTGTTGTATTATTCAATTCATTATTAACCAACAACCAATAAGTGCGCTAATTTAGCCGCTATTTTCTTAAGCTAGCTTGGTTAGTGTGTTGTGTTGGAATCCTCTATACTTTTCAGGCGTTAACTGACTGAAAATGTATAGGCAGGATTCAGTATCAGGTTCTACTTATATATTTATAATTGTTTTTCGCGGTCATGCTATATATAAAATTGTTGATATTTAAATTGGGGATTTGCTATAAATTAATTTATTCGTTTAGTTTCCCGAAATTGAAAGAACCGACTTTCAGTGAAGGCTTCTTTATGTCGAATATAAGTATTTGCAAGTACACAAGTAAGAAGAAAACTCTAAATTTTCATATGGACTATCCGATGAACTCTCACAAGCACTGTTAGAATTAATAGTTGAAATAGTTATTTTCATATAATATAAAAAAAAAAAACAAAATTAAATAGCTATTTTATATATACTAATAACTCACTCATACATTCTTGGCATCCCTCTTCCTGCACCAACCTAAAACGCCATTTATCATTGATCTCAAATGTTCTTTTGTGTTTACAAATATTTTTTTGAGTTGTGTCTATTTGATTTTACTTTAATATGTTTTTCCTATTAATTAATAAAAAATTTTACACGCTTAAGGATGTAATATATATTATAATTTTTATTATTATTATTATTTAATTTTATATTATAATTAAACCGTTAATTCATTAAAAAATGCTTACACTTAGAAATATTCATTACCTTAAAGTTTGAAACTATACTAAAATTTTTATTTTCGACTTTACTTTTGACATCATTTCCTGGCGCATTTGCATTGCGCTCAACATGTATTTATTCATCTTGTTAATTTAATTGTAAAGTAAATTTTTTATAGTAAAATATATATATATATTTATACATACATATATAATGTATATATATACGTAAACTACAAATTACAAATACGACTACATAAATATGTATATATATTTTATTATTCAATTTTTCTTCATATTTTTATTTTTCATATTATTATATATTTTTTTGTTTTATTGTATAAAATTCTAACTGAAATCTGCACTGCGGCACGTGCAAACACCTCTTTTATTTAAAATGTTTGCAACAAATTTGACTTCGAACTTTTTAAACTTCTTGTTGAATCCTCACCATCAATCTCCTATAGATATAAGTTTTTTGTATAGTATTATATGAAGAAAAATATATTTGCTTTTAATTTTTGATTTTTTCTATACAATACGTTTTACTCTGCTCCGGTTATTAGTTTCATGTTTTAAGCTTTAATGTTTTCTGCGAATAGAATGTAAAATTTTTAACATTTTTTTTTTGCAATTTTGTATTTTTTTCTTTTTTTTCCAAAAAGTGTAATTAACAATTTTGAGGCTTAAGGCAACTAACCTCCTCTCGTTTAGCAGCATTTTTGAATTGGTCAAATCGCCTTAAAGTACGTATTTTTGGTCAATCGTAACATATCGAATATAGCAGTACAGTAGTAGTGGTTGAAATAAATAAGTCGTGTTTGTCCTGTCAAATGGTATGCAAGTAACTTAGGGTTTGTTATTTTTCATTTTGAATTTGATTTATCTGATTATGTATTTATGTATTACTGTGCTATTTAAATGTATGTATTAACTTTAATATTCAGTTCCGCGCTTTTACAACACACAAATCACATTTAAAAAGGAAATCAGGAATAAATCTTAGAAGAAAGTGAATAACAAATGTAATCAATATAATGTATTAAAAAAAGTAGAAAGAGACGTTTATATGTATGTATATGTTTTAGCCGTTTGACTTTCATATGTAAAACGTATTAAATGTATGCATTATTTCCGCGTTTAAAACATTTTAGTACAGTTATATCTCTTCGATAAACTTTTTCATTAGTTACTTTCTAGCTGATCCCTAAGCTAGTTATCTATTGCCTTTTACTAAATTATATGTAGTATATTGCGACCAGTTTTATAATTATAAAATACTAACATGAAGAGAACACGAGGCGAGAAGCAAGCTAAAATTAAACATGAAATTACTTGAAAGTTTTGCACGATTTAATTCAAATACGTTTTAGATTGAGAAATTATTACTATTACATATGTAATTGACAAATAGTACAAATATGTATACATATATATAACATAGGTTACATCTGCAAGAAATCATTCGAAATTTTTCCTTCTTCACCTTTTATATTTGTTTTAGTAAAAAAAAAAATAAAATAAAAAAAAATAGCACACCGTGATACTTTTAGTTTCACATAACATTTATACAGTAGAAACCTAAAATAAGTGAAATGAACATTGAATACTTATTAAACTAAGCAGAATGGATGAAAAAAATATATAAAGCCTTTATACTTCGCGCAAAAAATAGGGTTCTTAAACTAAAAGTAGACGAAACTCAAAGGCATATGTTTTGGAGAATAGGCTATTTTACGTAGCAATCTATGAGAAGACAAAATAAAACGACCGCAAAGATTTCTATCTTTTGACAAAGCTATTTAAAAGTTGAAACCAACAGAAGCACTTAGAAAAAAATTTACAAATATGTATGTGTATACCTATAAATAAATATTATTCTTGAATAACCATACAGCTTAGAGCAGCTGCAGTTGCGGATTTAGCTTTAAGCTGAGGCTAAGCTTTTGTATCCGTGTCGACATATGCAACATACCAACATACATACATATATTTAATATATATAGAAATATGCTTTGCGTATGTCTATATGCTATGTTGATTTAGAGCTTAAGTGATAATCTTTCTTGTAATTGTTGTATATTTTTTCTTGTTTCTTTGTTTTTTTTTTTCATTTTTTAATTAATAATTACACACTATTAAAGTTGTAAATATGTAGCTGTGTCGTTGTCCATATTTCTCTTGCCGCCATAGCCGCTCACTCTCTATATCAATGCTATCATTATATTTATGCTCTATCATTAGTCGATCATTTTAATTGCTTTCTCTATATATATACATACATAGCGCTAGCCCCTAATGCAACCAACGCTAGCCTAGCCTAGTGCTAACATGCAACATTTCCACTCTCAACGTGCTCACGCGTACATGTATTTGCAAGTGTGTCTTAAAACAAATCACATGCATTTAATTCAGCAACGCATCCATCGTATATGGAAAAGGTGGTGGGGTACGTTGTGGTGGTGTGTTTTTATTTTGTTGTAATTGTAACTGCTGCTTTTGTATTTGCTGCTGCTGCTGCTGTTGCTGTTGCTTTTGCTGCTGCAGTAGTGATTTCTCATTGCGATTTAGCGACGCTGTTAAGGTTGTGGTTGTTTCTGTTGTCGACACTGCGGTTGCTGTTGCTACTCCAGTAGTTGCGCTTGTTGTTATTGCTGCCACTGACGACGGTCAGTCGAGTATTACAACTTGCGATTCCATTTGTCTGCTCGCCGTCACTGCTGGTGACGCTACAACATGTGCCATCTGGGCTAGTTGTTGGGCTTTAAGTGGCAGCTCTCGCCAGGGTTTACGTGCAATTCGTCGCAGATCAGCGGGTGAAAGTGTTTTGCGCCATTTTCTACAAACACAAAATGGAATTTATTTTTGTTTAGATTATTTAAATAATTAATTGAATTGAGCGCCACTTACTTGCTACTTTCCGTAGCTCTAAAATAATAATCATCCGGTGCATCAACCCAGCTAATGACCTGCTTGCGTCCATTACCAGCACGGCCCATTTGAGCTAATTTCGGTTTGCCATTAAGCTATAAGAACAAAAAAAAGAAGGTTCAAAGCTATGCAAAAACTAACTGATGATATATATTTGTTACGTGATGTCTTGTTAAGGTGTGACCAGCGGCAGCCATCATTGCGGCAAATTGTTCATTGCTTGGACGATGTGATGGCATGGGATCCTTATTCGGACGCTTAGTGGGTGGATACACAGGATACATCATCCCTGTTAAAAATAAAAAATATATTAATTACATATTCAAATGTTTTTATGTGCTTTCATGAATGTGCAAGCTTGGTGTTGCACAACTCACACTCATTACCATCCGCAGCTTCCTCACTCCGTTCGCGACCACGCTTACGCCAACAATCAGACCGCCGCGCTGCTGCTGAGCCGCCGGCAATAGTGGGTGCTGGAACTGGGGGCTGATCCTTGGAAACGCGCGAACGTTCTGCTGCTACTTTTGGTGCTGGAGTCGCCGCATTGATTGCTGTTACCTTTGCAACTGGTACCGATGCAGGCGTAATGGTAGGCACCACTGCTGGTAACACTGCAGTAGCTATTGGATTTGGTAATACCGGCGCTGGAGCTGGTATTATGGTTAGATCTTTCTCCAGCTCCAGTATTTTATTGGGCACACGATCATACAACAAACTGCCATCTGCTGCTTTTGGCGGTTTGGGAAATGAGACTACATCGGGTTTTGGTATTTTATCTTTTGGTGTCAACACCAACCATTCATGTGGCCCAATGCCCGGTGATCCCAAGCGATTAGCAATTTTCGTAACATTGCCGCGCTCTCGCTTTTTCCGTTTCATCAACAAAATTTTCTTTATATCAGCAGCGGTTTTATCGTTTATTCGATTTGTAACTTTTTTTGAGATGAAAGAAAAATCAAAAGTCGAAAATTAAAAATGAAAATTACATAACGGCATTATTATTAGTCAAAAAAAACCTACATTCTTGTTTCACCAATTGCGTATTGATTGCGTAGGATGTTTGGCGCGCTGCTTTTTTGGGCTTTATATAGTTCTGACAGAGCACACGTGCCAAACGCGTCATTGCGTTCGTATGTAGATAGAAGGCGGTGCGAGTTTTCATGATGGGCCGCGGTGAGCCGGAACTGATAGCAATGCCATGCGCTTGATCAAAGTGACGCGCCAAATGCGTTTTTAATTTGAATTCTTTACCACAATTCACCATAGGGCATCTAAGTCAAATGATTATTAATTTGTTTATAAATCAACAGAAAATTCAGTTTCCACTTACTTGTGCATTTGGCGATTAGATAAATCGCTCACTTTCTCATTATCAATCACTTCAACTACAACTGGAACTGCTTTCTTCTTGGGTTCATGATCGATTTCAAGTTTAGCAGCACTCTTCAAACCACCATACTTCTTCCAATAGTCCCAACAATTTTGACAAAGACGACATGCACCGTGGCTACTGCCAGTCCAAGGATACCACTAAAAAATGTAAATTCAAAATTCAAAGTTATTACGTCTTCAAGAACTTAAAATTATAGAAAAATTTAAGAATTCAATACACGATTTTTATGAAAACTTTATGAAAATCCAGAGCTTGTTAAATGATGCTCTCTGAATTGTATGTCCCAAAAAATGTATAGCAAACATTTACATACCTGTGAGGATTTAACAGTTGAGCAAGATTCACACGGTTTGCCATTGTTGGAGAGATCAGCACCACCATTTGTAGTGCCATTATATATATTGGCTCCGCCTTTGATTGAAACACCAGCATTGCCACTTTTGTTCACTTGATTATATTGCGGCACATAAACCTGTTTCAGTTTAAGTTCCGCTTCGACAGCCTTTACACGTTTCTGTTGCACATAACGGTCGGTCGTCTTCCACATATAATAGTATTCAATTATTTGTTTCAGCGTTTTCCAGGGAAGCTGTAATGCAAATGCAATTATTTTTTTAGTTTCTAACAAAACATGTAAACTGTTCATAATTAGATTTGTTTGAACCAAAGTTATATTCTTACAAAGTCCTGCCGAATGTCATTAAAATCTTTGCCATATTTATCCAATGCCTCTTCAAATAAATTCGCCTCTGAGGCACTCCAATCTTCGATTTCATCACGGCAGAGTACTGGCCCACTGGAAGGAACTAACGAACACATCGCCTCTTCAATAGAGTAATTGTGCTTATGCAGCGTATCCATGGCATGAAACTAATTGATATAAGTCCAATTAAGCGAATTTAAATTGAGACACATGAATTTTGATGTTGTTACATACCAGTGTTATGTCACGGCTAGCAGCTGCGGCCGACATATGCAATGACGGCTGCTTCACCGAACTGCTACAGTCCAGTGCACGTGCGAATGTGCCTATTGAGCGCGACACTACCAAAAACTGATCGATTTTACGATCGTTTAGACTATGCTGCGGAGTCCACACTAACGTTTCGAGATCCTCTAATTTACGTTCATCGCTCGCGACATCTTTGAGTTTCGCAGGAATTTCACTTTGATAACGGCTACCCACACGTATTTCGCCTTTGTCGGCGAGCAACGTTTTCTGGTTAGGATCGAAAACTAAGCAGTAGAAGAATGTGTCCTAAGGATATAAGAGATTAAATGCTTATTAAATTATAAAAAAAATCAACACGTTATATATAATACAATACATATAATATAAATATGTATATGAGGAAAATATTTAGATAAAGCCAGTACTAAGTATGTGTACATATGTAGTTAGGGTACGATGCGAAATTTACGACTCACGTCTTTACTGAGATAGCTTTGCAGGGACTCCGTCTCGTTTAGCAATGTAACCGAACATTTGCCACGAATTTGTGTGGCAGGCAGTGTCTCGACTTGACGCGACAAAAACAATTCACGATGTTTGATCTGATAGCGTTGTTTGGCCGTTAATGATTCACCTTTTTCCGCAGATGCCGCACCAACGCCCGGTCCATGGTGTATAGGACTGTTGAGTCCCTCATCCAAAGCTGCTATAATGATAAAACGCAAACGCCGGACAAAGGTTACATTTCATTTCGGATAAAGTAAAAATAATACATTTTATCTACAGCACGGGCATACGAGTACATACAAACGTACATGTTTATATACATACATATGTATGTACATATGTACTATATGTATGTACAAATATATCTAACATTACTAAAACATATACATACATAATTACAATACAAATGTATACAAAGTACAAAAACGCTATTTTTTTCAAATACATATGTATATAACAGTAATTGTAATCAACCAATGTGTAGAAGAAGAAGAAGAACTTTAAATATATGCACATAGTAATAACATAAAAATCAAACAAGAAATACTTAATCGAAAACATAGCAAAAACCACAGCATGTCGAAGAAAAGTGCCAAATTGAAAGCGTCCAATATCGTTTCATGTGCAAACGAATTAAAATTTTAAATAAGTCTCTACCGAACATAAAATTGTAATAAATACATATAAACATACATATGTATATGCAAAATATGTAAACATATATTGCATTTTGAAATATTCAATATGTAGTAGTAAGAGATAGTTTTTACTAAAAAATTCTACGATACACTACTTTGAAGTTGAGTCATTGAATTAATCGGTACCTATAGAAGGATCTAATACTGCTTGTGCGGCCTGCTCTTCGCCTACTGGTGTTCTAAGCCATGTTTTCTTCAGCTTCGTAGCCAGTGGGGAATCTTCAGCGGTTGCCACTATGTTCGATGAGGATATGGAGGAGGATTAAGTGAAAATTTTATTGCATAAATATTTCGCATGTGCAAGGTATTTATATATATATATATTTACATATTAGGATTATGTTGATTAATTTTTTTTTAAATTATTATTACAATATTTTTTTATTTGTAACTACTGTACTACATAGGTATGTATGAATAATAGGTTAAACAGTCTAAAATATGGATAATATGTTACAATATCTCTCAAATAAGCAGTGAAATTCTTCACATTGTTTCCCTCAAATTTAATAATTAAAAAGGGTTATAATTTTTATAGTTTTACATCCAATCCCATTTGTCACCACCTCTTTTCTTTTTAGCAGCTGGTACCTTTCTGAAGACCGCATTCCAATCAATCAGATATTTTTTTGTCAATGTTATTCGGGTTGTACATATGTATGTACATATTAGGTAATGTGAATTATTTTGCACAACCGTTATGTACTTATGATCTTTGACACACGCCTTAACAACTTTCAATCATCAAGATAGATGTGTTTTAAAAATACTGGCAATCAAGGTTACGACAACCGTTGACGTCACTGAACCAACTACATCATAAGTTCGTTTGGTTTTTATCTTAGGCGTTATTGTCCATAGCACTAGTGTTACGTGTCGCATCATATCATACGATACGGCACTAAAAATTTATCCTTGACAGTTTTTCGATGGAGTGACTCAGTACGTTGTGAGCGCCCGTCAAAGATGCACACCAGCAAAGAGAAAATTCGCTATATTTTTCAATTTTTCTTCGATCAAGGCGAAAAAGCAGCCAAAGCTGCTGAAAAAATTAATTTAATTTATGGGCCCGATGCTGTCAACGAACGTTTAGCACAAAAGTAGTTAACTAGATTCCGTTCCAGTAATTTCGATGTCGAAAATGCACCACGCGTCGGGAGGCCTGTCGTCGAAAATAGCCATAAAATCATGGAAATAGTGGAAGCAGACCGTAACGTGAGCACTTATTACATTGCTGAGGAACTAGAGATAAGCCAGAAAACCGTTTGGAACCATTTGCATAACCTTCAATTCAAAAAGAAGCTCGATATTCGGGTGCCACACGAACTAACGCAAAAAAAGGTTGGACCGAATTTCCATCGGCGAATCGCAACAAAATCGACCCGTTTCTGAAACGGATTGTGACTGGCGATGAAAAATGGGTCACTTACGACAACATCTAGCGCAAACGGTCGTGGTCAAAGCGCGGGCAAGCGGCCCCGACGTTGGTCAATACCGGATTGACGGCCAGGTAGGTTTTGCTGTTTGGTGGCCAAACGCTCAATTCGACCCTCTACTGACAACAAATGGACCGCTTGAAGGCAGCACTCGTACAAAAGAGGCTATCTTTGATCATATTTGACTTAAATCGGACAAATATACACCGAGCTATCATTTTTTGAAAAATCAATAAAAAAAAAACCGAAATAACTTTTTACTTGGCCACTATATACAGTGGACGGGATTTAATATTATGTAATGAAAAAAAAAAATGTTTATTTCTTTCAAAAATATTTATGTATGTAAATATGCGAAAACTTATAGCCTATTTCCACCAAGCACTTAAATGCATTTAAGGCCTCTGTTAAGTAAATGAAATGTCAAACGTTTCCACCGAAAGTGAGTTAACTCAAACAGCTGATTTTTGTTTACATTTGCAGTTTACAAAATTTGCCACAACATATAAATCATGAATTCAAGAGACCGCATTCATTTTATTTGGCTATTTCTGCAATCTTAAGACTTGCAAGTGCAGATTATTTCTGCACGGACAAACGTTGCTGAAACGAACATGTTTTTTGTTTGTTTCTTATAGTTTTTTTTTGAAGGCGGAGAAGTATTATCTTCGCCAATTACTTAATATAGGCATTTATGTTAAAACTAATGCAAAAAAGGAATTTTTATACAAAAAATTTCACGCCCCTCATTAAATCCGAAAATACACGACTCTGGCAAGAAGTACCCCGAAACTTCCGAAATGATTACATTATTAGTGACAGCATCGAATGTTAACATAACATTTTCTGTTAAATTGCCGAAAGTGAGTTAACTCACTTTGAAAAGTGAGTTAACACACTTTTATACAACAACAAACACATGGGAATTACCGCATTTAAATGCGATGTTTAAATACATTTAAGCTAAAATGCATTTTTCGTCTGGTGGAAATAGGCTATTAGGTCGTATGATAACCGACTTTTTTGTTTGGCCTGCAATTGAAGAACACGACTTGGATATACCATAAAGTATTTGAATATTATCTCAAATGGATCGATCTTTGTAAAAATTCGCCAGGCGGACCTTTGAATGATATAGTGTACTTTATTGCCAAAGTTTCAACTTTATAATAAAAAAGGATTTCATAAAAAAATTACTTTAAACGCATTTTTTTTACTTTTATTTTCGAAACCACAAAATGGATAACCCTGTACTTTTTAGGCCATATGTATACAACATATGTACATGCATATTCATACATATATACTGTATTTTTGAATTATTGTAAAATAAATGGAAAAGCTTTGTTCAATCAAGCATCCATTTTGCTTCCATGGAATTAGGGATTGTTCCGGTAAGTGTTTCAGGTCATATTTGATATCACTTCATATGTGAATATTTTAACTTCTAAAAATAAATGACCACCAACATTAATGATGGAAATCAAGAATCTGTAGATTTTTTTCTTCTTTGTCAGGTCAGGTCCTCAACGTCTCCTTTTAGCCAATCAACGCCATATGAAATATATGTCACAATAATGTTTAAACTTGATATTTTCTTAATGTTTCGATCACCTTTCTTCACATCCATACAGCACACTTAACTTATGTATTAGGTATGCACTTAAATCCATATACAACTGTGTGCGTAATAATAGCAGTGGCAAATGGAAATTCAAGTAATGATTTTCCTACTTTTGAATAAAACCCTTAATTTATATTTGCCAATGCCAGAATGTGGGCCCAAATACTACCACCCTGTATTTGAATTAATTTCTGATGTAGTTACCACATTCATAAAAAATTCCGTTACTTTTTGTGTCACTCGGTACTATTTTACTGTGATTTAAAATAGCAGTGTTAGTAAAATAGCCGTGTTGTGTGAAGGAATTCAGGTGAAATTTGCTAATTTATAATAATTTTAAATGCTGGAAGAGTTATTTCTGTAAATACATCGTTTTCAAAATATTAGAATATATTCAAAAATGGGTCTTCATTTCTCTGGAGGAAAAGCCTTCCATGCGTTCCTCAGTACCGTCGCTGTTTTTTTTTCATATTTGATGGATTCTCTCTCCCTTCCGCTTCCTTTATATCTGCTGAAAGATTCTCAATATTATTAAGGTCAGTTGCTGCTATGCTTAGGAGGGTTGTCTTGTCTATAGACCCATTTCAGCGGCATCTTACACTTAGCACGCAGTAGCATAGACGACTCCATTATTTGGACATACAATTTGGCATCCATTTTCTCTTCTATAAAATACATCGGACTTGTGTCATAGTAAGAGAAGCACGCCCACACATTGATTTTGCATTGCCATGTTTTACAGTACGGGATAAAATGAAGCATTTTCTGATCTTCGCATATATTGTCGACGTCCCTTGGAACCAAAACAAAACAATTTTTATTTCGTCGTACCATGAAATATTACGGCATTTCTGGACTGGCAAATGCTAGTGTTCTTCGGCAAATTTAGTTCTCTTTTAGTTTGCCTACATTTGTTGGTGTTGAAGTAATGGCATTCGTCTTAGACTGCTGACAAAACGTTTGGCTGATATTGATTTTTTTCTAATTGTAGACGAGTCCACGGCAAGATTTAGTTAATATTTAATATATTTTTTTAGGTATAAAATGGCTTTTCTCGAGCCAAAGCCACAGCTTGTCTCAATTCTGTCAGAGAAAGAGTTTCTTTGCGTCCTATTCTTTCACGAGTTGGTGTCAACTTTTTTGCATTAGTAATCAGTATGGCTGAATACACAAGCAAATCTGCAATCTCTTAGATTTTCCCTACCGATAATAATTTTTTAATAACTTCTCATTTTTCAACAGTGCAGTACTTGGCACGGCCCATTTTTGAATAGAATATATTTCTAATATTTTAAAAATGATGTATTTACTGAAATAATTCTTCCAGCATTCAAAATTAATTTAAATTTTCAAGTTTTGCATGAGTTCCTTCACACAACACGGCTATTTTACTGGCACTGCAATTTTAACTCACAGTAAAATAGTACCGAGTGACACAAAAAGTAACGGAATTTTTTATGAATGTGGTAACTACATCACAAATTAATTCAAATACAGGGTGGTAGTATTTGGGCCTAAATTCTGGCATTGGCAAATATAAATTAAGGGTTTTATTCAAATGTAGGAAAATCATTACTTAAATTTCCATTAGTCACTGCTATTATTTCGCACACAGTTCTATATGAATATGTATGTGGACATTTGGAAAACTTGGCAGCTATAAAAATTGGAACCCATAATATATGCATGAGTGAAGTAGCTATAAATGTACGTATGTACATGGAGTAGTAAATAAGTGCGTATATATACATATATATAGTATGTATATGTATGTATGTAAATGTTTAAATTAATCTAAGTTAAGTGGAAGTCTTTATGTTTCAAAACTAAAAGAAAAACTGTACATACATACATACATATGTACATATTTGTTTAAAAATTAATCACCGATTAGTTAAAAATACTTTTTTTTTTTAAATCGCCAAAACTAATAGAAATTTCCTTATTATGTTTATAGTATATATGTATGTATGTATGTATGAAACAAAGTGTGTTTGTGTACGGCTTTTGGTCTTTATATGGTAATTATTAAATTCATAAAGATATGCTACAACATACATTACGGTTTACATACATATATCCATACATACATACATACATATATATTGTATTATATGTATGCATACACATTACTTTAGAAGCCGAACGAACAAACATAAATACAAAAAATGAAGATGAGAAACGGAAATGGATTACCACCAACCAACCATCAGAACCTACGAACGTACGAACGATAGCCGAAAAATGAGGAAGCGCAATGTGATGCAATGGCTTTAAATTGAATGGGGTGGAATGGTAACTGATTGTGGGCTGAGTTGGAGTGGTGTTCGCACAACGCAAAGATGTCTGGCCTTGTCGGTTGACGCAGTGGGAGTGAGTGACTAAGGTGGGGAAAATACATACATACATACACACGTACTTTAAAACGTCCGTAGCAAGCAAACATATTTATATACATACACACATACATAAGTAAAAATGCATAAGCGCGATGGGGCCGTCGACGCGAACTGTACAACTTTATAGAGTCGCGTACACTGTACTATTGAGTCGGCGACCAGAACGCGTTTTGTGGTATTTACCACCCCCGCATGCGACCGCTCAAGCAGGCCTCGTGTGACGCGTTTTTGCGCAGGCAAACGATTCAAAAGAAATGTATACATACGTGTGAGGGAAGTTGCGGTGTGGATAGACGCGTGTGGGTGTGTGTATATGTATTTACGATATGAATGTAAATTTTGATTAGTTTTAAAGCAAAACTTCCGCCTGACAAATAAAAATGTTGAAAAGATAGAAGATGCAAATGTAACAAAAATCTCTCGTAAGCTTTTTTTTTCAATGCCCCTTTACATTAATTTATAGGTTTTATGCAATTATATTTAAGTTGAAAGCCGTGTACGGTAACTTGCTTTTCTAAACTACAATATGCGGTGGTAGCACCTCGCAGTTGCATTTTATAATTCGACTACATACATAAATACATACGTAGATCCCATTTAAATTGTACATTAGCGAAATTCGGGCATGCGAATGCGGACTGCGATGTACCAGGTGAGTAGATCTGGGTCCGCGAAGTTGTGTGTGAGTGTGCGACCCGTACCCTGGCAGGCATGCTCATAAAATTGTTTGTGAGTCTGCTGTTTTAGGTTGAGTACCGAAATTCCGTGTGGGTTGGAGGGTTGTTTGTATGGTCGAAGTAGTGTTTGTTGTCTCTGCTTAGTGGATGTTGTTGGTATTGTTGAATTTGGAAAACACAACCCACAAACCTGTGCTTATGTACATAGTACATATCAATGTATATACATATGTACGTACTAATAGTGAAGGTGTGTTTCAACTGCAGCCTATAGCCTGATTTTCGTGCGTTAATATGTATATATGTATGTACATACATCAACTTACATTTGAACAAAGATTGGATGATGTTACACACCTAAACCTTTATATTTATTTAAATACATACATACATACATACTATATGTGTCAGCCATATACACATTTTCATACAATAATATATATGCACGTATGACAAACATTTCATACATACACTTTTATGCACACCCACAATTTGGCCACCAAACGGAGACCATCATTTTCTCCATACGATTCCGTAGCAATGTTCTATAGAATCCCTAACGGTATCTAGGTACCTAAAGTGGGTAGTTTAGACAGAGTTACGCAGCGCAACAACTCGGCAGATATTCATACAAACGTACATACATGCATACATACATATCCTCGTGGTCTGTAGGTATGTCAATATGCATAACTGTAGGTAGTAAAGCCCTCTCAGCCTCTGTATTTCAGTTTTGGTCGCAGTCACAGCCTCTGCAGCTGTTATTGCTACCACTTGCTGACGTTGTCGCTGTATGCTTTTTGTTGCTATTTTGTATTACTCGTTGCTCTGCTGTTGTCGGTCGGCTGGTTAGCTGACTGTAGGGCTGGTTGGCTGGTTGGCTGGCTGACTGAGTGACTGGTTGGTTGGGTGGTTAGCTGGGACCTCTTGTCTTGTATTAGGCATCGATGCAGATGCGAATTTTCTGAACACTGTTGCTGGCCATATTATTTCGCTTGTTGTTTTTGCTCTTGTTGAAACTGTTGCCGGTTATTCGCTGTCGGTAATACGCTGGTTAGCGTAGACAATGCCACTAGTTTCTGGTTGCAAAATACATAACCATACATACATACAGGTATATGTACATATGTATATACAAACCATACATACGTACAGGTATATGTACATATGTATATACAAAGCCAATTCATGTTTCGAATGTGAAATGCTCGTCTCACTGTGATATCAGTCTATGCATGTGTATATATATTTGTTGGGTATCATATTGATGTAGCAATGAATGACCGTTCATAAACTTGCATCTATACTCATATCGACAATTTTCAAAATTCCCGGTACGTATTATTGCCAAATTTTCGTTACAGTTGACAAAAAAAAACAATATTATTTAAAGTTCGTGAGGTCACAAATATATATTTATATATCTTCTTTTTTAAAGAAATTCTAATTTTCCCCCAATTTTTCTCTATTGAAACCTAACTACCACAGGTATGGATACCATCAGTATCCGCATATTTTAGTCAATTTGTTACTATTGTTTTATTTTTTACGAAGGTTAATAATATACTTAAAAAACATTCTACTGAATTTTTTTTTTGTGATAACATAACCATGTACTATAATACATAAATCACACGTACAATATGTATACATAAATACATGTATAAAATCTGAGAAAAAGATATGGCACACCGGATAAAAAGAAATGGCATAAACAGCTTATATGCGAGTAAAATTTTAGAGTATATGTATTTACAAAAATAATTATAATAATTATTTCAATTCACTTACGTTGATGTTTATCAGCCAGTTGTACAAGTGGATTCGGCAGATCACGCCTTCTATAGAAGCACATAACCTTCGCCTCCACATTTCCCGATTGATTTTTATTTAGCTCTTCTATGCGCCGTATTAAAAATGGGTTATTCGGAGTTGTCTCTACGTAGACATAATCTAAAACAGAAAAGCATAAAGTAAGCATACATATATACTTATTTATATTTTGTATGGTATGAATAATTAAATCAAAGGTATTTGCTGCAATTACTGCTGTCGATCAAATACATGGAACCATCTAAATAAAAAATATTGTAATTTCAGCAGTAATTTGGGATACAAATCGGTCACAGCATAATCGGAAGCAACATACACACGTTGCTGTTGTTGTTATTACAAAACATTCCTAAAATCTTAAGTGGCATCTATTATATAGTTATTGCATCGTTTTATTCTTATCTATTAACGGCTTCGATATGGTCATATAAATTCAAAATTATATATTTACGCAGATTGGGTACAAAACATGCAAAACTATTTCATGGTTATAAGCAATTTTCATAGCCAAAACTAATTAACACAATATTTTCGGACAATACACAAATGTAGACTTCATATAAGGAAAGAAGACTGTCATTCAAATAACGAAAAAAAAGCAACAAATGAAAGCTGCATCAGCAGACTAGCCACCAAACAAGTGGGAAAATATAAATTAGTCTTGCTGCTGTGCTTACATATACAAACAAAATTACCTCAACAAATACATATGTACATGTGTACCCATGCATGTTGAAGCTCTCATATACATGCATAGATGCCACATGGCATAATGATAGCAAACGCAACGCGCAACATTAACCAGCAAACTAACCAATCGAGAAAATGATCTCGAAGAGCCCATCAAATATTCAGAAAACAAAATAAATTAGCTGAGTGTGTAATGGGAAAAAGAAGTTATATTTGTTAATAATTCGCATATTTGGAAGAATTTAGTGGCATAGCTCGCAATATATCAAAGAAATGCACCAAATGTTTAGAAATTGAAACCTGTTATTTAACTTTTCCTCATTTATTATACATACATATATATTCATATGTGCACAACTGTATTTACATACATACATTTATTTTTATTAAATATTTAAGTCCCATTTAATTTGAAATTGAACTTGGCTAATATTTTAGTCTTAAACAAGTATATATTAGTTTTATGTATGCACTCGAGTACAGGTATATGCAACATATAAACATACATATGTATAAGAAAATATGTGAATAAAAGCGTATAATAAACTTTCTCTATTTTCAATGCTGCAATACACGTAATGATAAGATCGGCATCGACCGAATTATGGGCTGATCACTACTTGCATTATAATATTCTAAATTTTAAATTGAACATATCTCTACCCTGTCTACGTTTTCCCCGGTCAGCTAGCATTACACATCATGTGCATATAAGAATTTTTGTAACTGAATCAATGATGTTCAGCTACTGGGATATGCGTAAAAGCATTTAAATATAGCTAATTCTTTAAAGTCATATAGTCTTTAATGTTTGAGAGTGATAAAAAATTGTTTGTTCTTTAATAGCTGCTTTAAGCACAAATCCATCTCAATATATCTTGGGTAATGATGATACCTCGCAGACGCTTTTAATATGCCACCTCTTTGCACTTTTCTTATTTAATCTCATATACATATTACAAGTGCAAGCCATAAATGCAAAATGCAGTTTTGGACGATGCAGACGAAACATAAACTGCGACGTGACAGCAACGTCGAGAGCTTTGTTGGCAGCGATAGCTGCATAGGCTAGGCTATAACACATGCAGTGCACCGCCGCAAAATCAGCAGCTACAGCAGCATTAGCACCAGCAATTGCGACGGCAGTAACGACAGCAACAGCAAATACGGCGACGGCAATGGTAAAAGCGCCAGCGCCGAAAGACACGAACAAGATACAAAACGTAGCAGAGAAAATGGAAAATTTTTACCTCCAACCCGATACATATTTGTGGCCATTTTCACTTAAGTTTTGCACACAATTTCACACACAAAGTGTTTAGCACTTCTTTAATTATGGTTTTTCACAATTTTCATGTAATATTTTTCACATTTAAACGCGTTAATTTTAATTTGTTGTGATTACATTCACAAAAGACGCGTTTTTTTCGTCGCCATCTTAGAAAACACAAAACGTCAAATGTCAAAAAAGTTTCGTGGTGGAATTTTCGCTAGGTAGTCCTCTTTTGGTCGTTTTGACAGTGACAGTCTACAGAGACAGAGAACGTATAACATAGAGAAGGTGCAAAGCCAGCGTTTCTGACATTTCTGGCAGAAAAATTTCGTTTGATGTAATCGTCATTTCCTTCTCGTCTTGAATTTCTGTTTCACCTCGATATGAAAAATTAACAGAATTGAGCGTATTCAAACACAACAGAGAACTAAAATCTATGCATATGTAAATTAACAGCCGCTTTTATTTACTTTTATCACATATAAATGACCAAATTGAATTCAAATTTGAAATCATCAATTAATTACTGATAAAATTTTAACAATTTTTAATAAATGTGTATTTCTTAAGGACAGTATCATTTGTTAATGATTTTAATTTCTTTTAGATGACCTTTTGCATATACATGTGCACATATACTCACATGCTTATTATGTACAAACATATGCATATGTGAAAACAAATTACTCCATCCCTCTAAATACTTCTCTTATCTAAAAGCTCAGAATTAAAATCAAATACAACAATAAGATTCTCATTCATAGACGCCTGCGCCCTACAACAAATCAAGTGCTTTCATTCATAACAAGTTGCTTCTTTGCTGCGTTGACAAAAAACAAAAAATCGGAAGCAAATATGGTCGCGGAAAGTTAGGCAACAACAACATACAGTAGATGCATGCCCTGCTTCCTTCGACCCGTAACATTCTTGTATTGCCGACATGCATTTCTTCAAATTTTTGCCACTGACAAAAATTCAATCATCGTCTGCAGAAATGTAGCAAATCGACATCGTGCTACTAAATTTGCTGTTCGCCTGTTAGCTCATATTGCCCAGCAAGCAATTTCCTTGCCTTCCCGCATGCACCCTGTCCACAAGATAAGATGAGATTGTGTGTGCAAGGATTGTGTGCTAAATTTCTAAAATATTCTAAACATTCCAGAAGATTCTAGAATATTTGATTTCAATAAAGAAAAGTAGAATAAGCATAAAAGCAACAAAAACAAGTAATGCATGCAAACCCCTCTTTCTTTCAACTCTTCATCAACAAACAGTTTCATGAAGTCAAAGTCAAATTTTGCAAAAATTCAGAAATTGAAGTTGAGCAAAAATCACAAACCCATACATTGAAAGCTTCATATACATGTACAAATAACCAATACAAACAAAGTATTGTGAAATCTCTTTTCCCTTGCTCCCTCCACCAACAAGCTGTTTCGGTCAGAAATTTTGTCAAAAGTTAGAAATTGATGCTGAACTTGCGACAAAGTGAAAACCCATACACTCAAACAATTCAATATGTATACGTTAAACGCACACAATCTTAATAGCTCGCATGCCCTTCCTTCTTTCACCCCGCTATCCATAAACCTCTTCTTCGCGACGATGACAAAATATCAGAAAAATCAGAGTTCAAGTTGGTCTGAAGTTAAAGACACATACATTCAAAGAGGCCAATGTGTACACGAAAAACAGCCACATGCACAAAAACTTGCAAATTCTCTTCCCTTGTACCCCGTCATCCACGAACGACTTCTTCGGGACGATGGCAAAATTTGCAAAAATCAGAAATTCAAGTTGAGCTGAAGTCAAAAACAAACACATTCAAAGGTGACTGTATGTATATGAAAGACCCATACATACATGAAATCATGAAAAACACAAAATTTTCATTCATAAACGCATGCGCCCTACAACAAAGCAATGTGTTCATTCATAAATACCACTGCTCACAGGACGGTCACAAACTCATACATGTAAGGAAGACTAAATTCGAGTGCAAGCGATATTTTCCGCAGATATTAAAATGTATGAGACATCTCAGTTCTTACTCGAGCTATCGTGTATAGAGACGGAGGGACAGACATTCCTAAATTAATGTATATCACCATTCCACGAAGTTTTCTACATAGTTTATAAATTCTTACTTTGATTATTTTAAAACCGTTAGCAAAACAAATCCAATGCACTCTGGTCACATAGTATAGCCGGGTATAAAAAGTCCCGTAACAAAAATTAGCAAATCGTACATCTTCCCGAAATGTGAAGCAACAACAATCTACATTGGTATGTGGCATACACTAGCATTGCTTCAAATTCTTGCGACTTTGACAAAAATTCAGACTTTGTCTGCCGAATTGAAGCAAGTCGGCATCGTGCTGTTAAATTTGCTGTTTGCCTATTAGCTCATATTGGGAAGCAAGTAAATTCAAGTTGTCTGTGTAAGCTGGGCAAAATGCAAAAGTTCTAGATTTTAGGGATGAAGTGCGAATCCCAAGCTAAAACAGAAAAAACGCATTTTTCCATATACTAATGTGATTGCATGCGTAAGTCTATTTCTCAAAGTTTTCAGGAGAGCAGCTTGAAAGTTCAGCCTTCCATATGTCTTCCAATCAAATTTTGGTTGATTTTATATAAATAATTTCCGTTCTAATAGGAATACAACTATGAATTATAAGTATAATGTAGATATTGACCTGCTGAAAACGATAGTGAGGATATTTCAATTTCGTATTAAATTGAGTAAGGCGTACATATCTACATATGCAAAAATTAAATTGCCGTCGGCAAATTTTGCGATATTTTCCTTATTTTTATCAATGTTATCAATTTACATTATGTTTACAAATTAACATACTGTTACGCTCAATTCTTTTAATTAACAGCAAGTTTTGCGAATCATGTGAGGAGTGTGGTACGATTACGTGAAACGAAGTAATCGTGCTTTTTGACAATTTCCACCCTGGTCCGTACTTGCACCTTCTCTATGTTATACGTTCTCTGCAGTCTATGTCGGCGACATCTAATGCAAAATCATTCTCAAAGGAAATTTTCAGGGCTGCCGTTATCTTGTTATAATTTCTTGATTTTAACTTTAAGTGCAAATTTCCAATCATTACTAAAATACACTTATTGAAAAAGATTGATTATAAAATTTATATATGAAAATATGCACGATTTAATGAACTTCTGAAAGTCAGGTCTATCAAATATTTATCTATAAATAACTAATTTTTTTTGACTGAAATTAGTAAAATATGCTGCATTTTCATAAGCTAAATATTAGTAGAAATGTAGTTGAAGCATACATATGATACATTTTTATGGCATACTGCCATTTTCGTTTAATTTATTTCAGCTTCTAGTCATAATATTTAATGATAAGTATTGGTTTGGCAGATTTTCAGTTGGTGACAACATCATTGTCAAGTAAAGTAGAGCAATCTTTACAGTTAGTAGAGTATGTGTTTGTAAATAATGTAATAGAATTAGCCGTCTGGCTACAATAAAGAAGCTGAAAAAAGTTTATGAACTTTTAAAAAAAATCAGTTTTCATATATCAGATTGTATCTCATAATTAAATGAATTTGAGGAATAAAAAAAATTTGCTCTTGAATTTGTTATTGCCAATTATTTTTTGGAATGATCTATTGATTGATATACAGAAAAATATTAATCTATCAACCTTTCTAAGTTTTCCTCTCATTTACCAAATTTTTCGCATTGGGATTTGTTTATTAGAATTTTATTTGTGACAGATTTTTTCCTCTAAATGTACACGTCGTGTCGCAACACTGTTTTCTGTCATTAACTTAGGTGGCATCTTGGTTGCTTGTGACGTGGATTTGGAGAAAATTTGTAAAATAATTCCAATTTGATCCTTGGGTGTTTTATGAAAAGGATTTTGGAATTAACCACACCCTATTGAGATGACTACTTACGAAGAATTCATTCAACAGAATGAGGATCGTGACGGTGTTCGTTTGACTTGGAATGTTTGGCCATCAAGCCGCATCGACGCAGGTCGTCTGGTTGTGCCTCTCGCTTGTCTATATCAACCGTTAAAGGAACGTCCCGATTTACCACCCATACAATATGAGCCAGTTTTGTGTACACGCGCTAATTGTCGGGCTATTCTTAACCCTCTGTGCCAAGTGGACTATCGTGCGAAATTGTGGGTATGCAATTTTTGTTTCCAGCGTAATCCGGTAAGTCGTTTTTTGAAAAATAAATTTTCCAAAAATCGTTTTTGAATATTTCTTTTTCGTTTTTCTTTTTTTTTTTAGTTCCCACCACAGTATGCTGCAATTTCAGAGCAGCATCAACCAGCCGAATTGATACCTGGATTCAGTACCATCGAGTACACAATTACCCGTGCGCCTTGTATGCCTCCTGTTTTCATATTCCTTGTCGATACTTGTATGGATGAAGAAGAGTTGGATGCTTTAAAAGACTCTTTGCAAATGTCTTTGAGCTTATTGCCCCCAAATGCGTTGGTTGGTCTTATAACATTTGGTAAAATGATCCAGGTGCACGAATTGGGCGCTGAGGGATGTTCGAAGAGCTACGTATTTCGTGGTACCAAGGATCTTACCGCAAAACAGGTTCAAGATATGTTAGGTATTGGTAGACCAACGGGTACAACAGTTGGTGCTCCTGGACAACCTGGACAACAAATGCCAGGTCAACAACGCGCACCGGCTGCTGCTGCTGTACCCCCTGCGAACCGATTTCTGCAACCCATTAGTAAATGTGATAGTGCATTGGGTGACTTATTGAGCGAATTGCAGCGTGACCCTTGGCCGGTACCTCAGGGCAAGCGTTATTTACGTTCCACGGGCGCTGCATTGGCGATCGCAGTGGGTTTACTTGAATGCACCTATCCCAATACAGGCGCTCGAATTATGAGTTTTGTCGGTGGACCTTGCTCCCAGGGTCCCGGCCAAGTGGTTGACGATGAGCTTAAGCATCCTATTCGTTCCCATCACGATATTCACAAGGATAATGCTCGATATATGAAAAAAGCTATTAAGCATTATGATGCATTAGCTTTACGCGCCGCTACCAATGGACATTGCATCGATATTTACTCGTGTGCACTTGATCAATGTGGTCTCATGGAGATGAAACAATGTTGCAATTCGACTGGTGGTCACATGGTATTGGGAGATTCATTTAATTCGTCATTATTTAAGCAAACATTCCAACGTGTATTTGCGAGAGATGCACGCGGTGATTTGAAAATGGCATTCAATGGCACACTGGAAGTGAAGTGTTCGCGCGAGCTGAAAATCTCGGGCGGCATCGGCTCGTGTGTGTCGCTGAATGTGAAGAACTCGTCGGTGTCTGATGTGGAGATCGGCATGGGCAACACGGTGCAATGGAAGATGTGTACACTGAATCCAAGCTCAACAATGGGATTCTTTTTCGAAGTTGTAAACCAACATGCGGCTCCAATGCCACAAGGTGGTCGGGGTTGTATTCAATTTATAACCCAATACCAGCATGCAAGCGGACAGCGTCGCATACGTGTAACAACGTTGGCTAGGAAGTAAAATAATTCATTTCTGTTAAAAATTTAATATTTCATTGACATTTATTTTTTTTATTATTAGCTGGGCAGATGCTACAACTAATTTACCATACATAAGTGCTGGCTTTGATCAAGAAGCTGCTGCAGTGATTATGGCACGCATGGTGGTATATCGTGCTGAAACGGATGAAGGTCCAGATATATTACGTTGGGTGGATCGGCAGCTCATTCGATTGGTAAAATTATGGATAATTATTTATACATTTATAATACGTTCGTAATGCAACCAAAAAATGAAACTTTTCTTTTCTTTCAGTGCCAAAAATTCGGCGAGTACAGCAAGGATGATCCGAACAGTTTCCGCTTGGCTCAGAATTTTAGTCTTTTCCCACAATTCATGTACCATCTGCGCCGTTCGCAATTCTTGCAAGTCTTCAACAACTCGCCAGACGAGACCACATTCTATCGGCACATGCTGATGCGCGAGGACCTCACCCAGTCTCTAATTATGATACAACCAATTTTATATAGCTATTCCTTTAATGGTCCACCAGAGCCGGTGTTACTCGACACATCGTCCATTCAGCCGGACCGTATATTACTAATGGACACGTTTTTCCAAATTTTAATTTATCACGGAGAAACCATCGCCCAATGGCGAGCTCTAAAGTATCAGGATATGCCAGAATATGAGAATTTCAAGCAGCTATTACAAGCGCCTGTGGATGACGCTCAAGAGATTTTACAAACCCGTTTTCCGATGCCACGTTACATTGATACTGAGCACGGTGGCTCACAAGCTCGTTTCTTGCTATCTAAAGTAAATCCATCGCAGACCCACAACAATATGTACGCGTATGGTCAGGTGAGTTTCGTATACATGCAAATGTGTGTAATTATATATATGGAGCATCTATGCGTATATTGCAGTAAATGCTTTAGCCCATTTTTAAATCATTTCTTTTGTTTTATGTATGTTTGTTGTTTTAAATTTTTATTTAATTATAATTTTTTATTTTTTTGCGTTTGCTCGTTCATCTCTGTTTAACTATTGTCATATTCAATGGATTGTTTGATTGCGAAAATGCAAAACTGTAGCCACCAATTGGCCAGTCTACGGTATTTATGATTTTATATATGAATTTTTGCTTTTTTCGGTAAAAAAAAAAATACCGAAATAATTAAGAGGTTGAATGGTGTGCGGTGCTATGTTTGCTGGTGTACTTATTGCTTTTATTTCTAATGCTTTTAAACTGCTTGTCCTGCTTTTTCTTCTATTAATTTACGTAATTCTACTTTCTTGTCGCATATTATAAAAGATTTTTTGTTGATAATTTCAATAGGATGGTGGTGCTCCGGTATTGACTGATGATGTTTCGCTACAACTTTTCATGGAACATCTTAAGAAATTGGCAGTTTCATCAACAACGTGAATCGGAAAATTTTGGGAGTGTATTAAGTCATGGTACCTCAGGCTTAAAGCGTTTTGGTCGAGTTGCTGGAGGAGTGAGATATTTAGAAATAAATAGGGGATGCTAGAAACATTTGTCGGCAAAATAATATTACGATTATAATTATTAAAATGCTAATATTAAACGAATAATTAACAATTATATAAATAAACATTATATCAAATAAAATTTAAATTACTGTACTTGGCAATAGCGAAAGCTTAATAAAACAACAACAAAGTTCATTCTTAATTCCTTTATTTGAATTAATTTTTAAATATGTATGAAGGTATATTCTAACACGACTAATTTGCAGACATCTTTTTTCGAAAGCGAATACATTATAGTTTTAACTATATGAAACTATATTTGGAATAAACAATTTGTAATGTAGCTGAAATTAATCTTTCATATACAGAGTGCACATTGAGTGTAGACTTAATTCATAATATTTATATTGTTACTATAAAACATTCTAATTAAAGGTGGCTTCCTGGTAAATTATTAGTTGACTAATGACAATTTTTTTTTAATTAAGGAAGCGAATCGACATTTTTTGTTCGACATCTGTACGTTCCAACGCTTTGCAAAAGTCCTCAAATGAAATTTTGCCTTGACAGCATAAATCTGCCTCTAGTATAGTGCGTTCGGCGATACTTATTAATTGATCCTGGCTTATATTTGCGCCTACCATCATGTGGAGTATACTCAATAACTCATCGCGGCTTATGACACCATCGTCATCCAAATCATACATTTTGAATGCGACTAAAAATTAAATAGAATTTTAATTAATTTATAGCTATTTATGAAATTTTTTTGACATAATTACATTTTAGCTTTTCCTCTCTACTATTCAAACCATTTTCCTTTTTCGAGTTGATGGGGCGGAAATGAGCTAGTACATTCATAAATTGACGGAAGTTTACACGATCATCCGTGCTATCCTCAAAGAAAGCATGCACGATGCGCTCACATAGCGGATTGATTGCCAGTTCGGGAATGCGCAGGAAGTCTTCCCTAGACAAAGTGCCGCAATCACCTCGATCCAAAGAGGTGAAACGGGAATAGAGTCGTTCAATTTGATTGGGTGTAACTAAATTACAATTTCATGCGTTAATTATTATATTTATAATTAATATTTGTATATGTGCATAAACATCCAAATTTATAATGGTTCTATAAATTTTATCTAATCTTTTGTTTCGAAATTTTCCAAATTAAACTTTGATCACTTATCATTTATCAGTCACAACTATAACAACTACAAATACTTAAAACTGTTAATTGATTTGTACTATGTACCTATATTGTTAGCATCAAAAGATAATGTTTTCAATAAATTAAGCAATTAGCATATCAATGTAAAAGAATTTCGCTCTACGTGACGTCAGTTTGCATTGAAAGACAAACTTAAATTCTACGTAGTGTACAATGTTTGTTTGCATCACATGATGAATTCTATGATATAGAAAGTATTATTTTCCGAACTTAGTTAACAAAATTTACACAGCTTAGCACTTTTTTAATACAACTCCTGACGTTTTGGTATAGATATTTTCATAAATATACAATGTGCATACAAACATATTCATGCATTTGTGTATATGACACATAAATGCATATAAAATAGAGAACTCTTAATTACTTTCGGGATAGTTCAGTTACTTACATCCAGTCTCTTCTTGAATTTGAGCAATTTCCTCTTGGCGCAGCAAAAGTGATGATTTATTGCCCATTTTATTTACTTGGCACCGCTTCAAAACCAATTAAAAATTATTACAAATATCGATACTGGCAAAAAAAGTTAAACAATAAATGCTGTGGGCCAACTGCATAAATGACGTTTTGTGTTTTGCATTTTATTGTTTCACGTCATCTCTGGGAAATTTTGAAGGAACAGCTGATTTTGATATTACCGAAGTGGTGCCACCTTTTATAACTGCTTTTTCTTGTTGGTTGTCAAAATCATTTGGTTGTCAATTTTTTTTACTGTTCTGTTTTCACTTAAGTGAATACGCGTTTGTGTTTCGAAACCGACAATCAAAAAATTTGTAAAAAAAAAAAATAACAAATATTCGTTTTTAACACCTTTACTTTCAGCAATTTTTTTCGCTCCACTGTAATTTACGAAACTCTTCAAAATTCAGAGCATACCAAGCTTAAAACTGGATAGGATGGAGAAGTTGAACTCCACGCTGGGCGCTGTGAGATCACTGCGTTCCAGCGTACGCCAATGCTTCGAGCACTTGGCCGATGGCACAAATGCCGAATTGGGGGAAGATAGTCGAACTAAGTTTCTTCTAAAATTTCAAGAGAACTTTAGTAACATGAATGCACAGCTCAGGTAAAAAAAATATAATTTTATATAAAAATGGTATCCTTAGTGATATATGGGGATATGTGTATTGACATTCTACAGGGAAGTTGAAAGTTTAATTAATGGTTTACAAGCTCCACAAACTCCCTACTGCTTGGGACAAACAACTTATCTTGCACAGGAAACTGCCCCAGAACGACAAGCATTATATTCCCAACTGGTGAATAGTTATAAATGGATCGATAAAGTACATGATCACAGTTTCCTAGCATTTAATAATCTAAATCAGAACAATCTCAGAAGGTCCTACACGTATTGCTCTCAGAAAAGAGTACGTATACCATTTGCTTCCTGTAACAACACCGATCCAGAGTAAGTTTACATGTTTTCTCTCCTCTTAAAATAACAAAAAAAAAACTTTTCTTTTTTAGTCATACTGACAAATTGTTAAGTGAAATAAATCTACCGCTTACAAGCTATCAAGTTTGTCGTCCGTTTGGTTCTAATGTAGTTGTGATTGTAAGTGCAAAAACTTTCGTTCAACATTGAGAAAACTTCAAAGATTCCAAATTTAAATTTTCTTAAAGGTCACCATTAGCCGAGTACTGAAAGCAGCAATAGTATGTAAGGGTGTGCTTATTGAATGGGTAACAGTGAAGGGATTTGATGAAACTCTTGATCCGGATGATTTGTGGACAGAATCTCGTTATGAAGTTTTCCGGAAAGTTCAAGAACATACTCACATTGCAATGTTGCACTTCTTTTCGCCTACCCTGCCAGATTTGGCCATAAAAAGTTACATGGTAATGCATTAAAATTTCCTAGTTAAAAATTATTTAAATCTTAATTGACTATCGATTTTAGACTTGGCTAAATAGTTATAGTAAACTATTTTTGGAAGCATGTAAACGGTGCGGAAAGTTCGTTTCAAATGGCTTGCCACCGACCTGGCGTGATTTGCGTACACTCGAACCATTTCATGAGGAATGCCGCAATTGTTAAATTGCTACGTTTTTAGAAATAAGATAAAAAAGAAGACAACATTTTATATATTTGCATAGAATTAAATAATTTCAATATATATTTGCTGAAACAATAATAATTATTCAAAAATGTACGTAGCCATTCTTGAGTTGCAACACATTATGCATTATTAAGGACTGCTATGCAGTTATCAGACTGCTTTTTCTTAAGTGATTTTTCACTTTTTACAGTAATTAGATGCAAGCCGGTCCTAATGAGTTAGTATTGGACGCATTGATGCTCCGTAACTTGCCACTTTTATGCTGCTTACATAAGCGCGCGAAATTCTCCCTCAATGTCTGACGCAACTTTTGACGTTGTTGCTCCACTTTCTCGCGCTGGCATTGGTACTCCAGGACCACTTCTTGAGGAATGTAACAGTTCTCTTCGTCGCCATCGTATTCATCGAAGTTTTCCTGCAAAGGATCTTTTCGTTACAACTTTTCATTATAATCAATCAAAAAAAAAAAACTATGTATAGTCTCTGAAATCGAATTTTTGCAAAACTTTTAAAATCAACTACAGACAGATTCCGCTGGAGTTGATTTACATTTATAATAATAAACTAGTTTAATTCAAACCTACCAGCATTTGCTGCAAGCTCAGCCAGTTTCTAGCTCCGTGCTTTTGGTTTAAGGGACTGTCTCGCCATAAATAATTACTTGCCACATCGTCAATGTCCTCCAAGTCTTGACCATTTTCATGATTACAAAATCCATCAGAGCACGATACTTCAGAACCCTCTGGTGTACTGGTAGCACTATTGATGGGTGAATTATCAGGTGTTAATAATTCACTGCCATAACCGGAGTCACGTACATCATTCTCGCATGGACAGTGGTCTTGTGGTGTTAAACAAACATCACATTTAGCAACAACTGTGTTTGCATCAATGTCGCAGCAGCTGCCAAAGGAACTTTCAATCGCCGTTTGGGACTGATCTACAGTAGGTACACGTTGTTGTTGTGGTGTATCTTTCTTTTTGCTGCTAGACAACGGTTGCTGAGGTTGTTTGTGCTTTTTCTGTTTCCTTTGCTTGCGTTTCTTTTGAGTGGGAGACTTAGATGGCACATTATCAGTTGCTTGGTGAAGTTTACCAGATGATGAAGAGTCTTCTTTGAATTCAGTAAGCAAGTTTTTATCCATAATATCTACCAGCTTATTCAACTCTTCGTCTAATTCCCCTGACAAATCAACTGCCTCATCAACCATTTCATCATCTACTTCTTTTTCCTCTACTCCTTCTTCTCCATCTTCATCCGCTCTATCAGAATCGACAATATCATTCACTGAACCATATTTTCGACAGAGCTTTTCTTTCTTTTCGATTTTCTTCAACTTCTTTTTCAGTTTCTTTTGTTCACGTCTTAATTCTTTGACCTTCTCGGCTCGACTGATTTCCTGGTATAGTAATTCTAAATTGCTAATACCTTGTTTTCTTTCCACGGCCATGTCAAAACTTCGACTTAAAGCATGAACACCGACCGCAGCAAGTACCTGACAGGCCCGTTCTTCTTCACGCAGACTGACATATATACGACGAAGCCGCTCATACATTATCATTCCAACACAGGTTAGCACCTCCTCTTGGGCAATTTCAAGAGTTTTCGCATGACGTTCTCGTTGCTTTGAATAACTAAAGGAGAAAATAATTAGTAGATAAAAATTAGAATATTCCAGCTTCCGACTGTTTGGGTTAGATGAACAAAGATCTTTTACTGCAAGGAACTTGCCTGCCGTTAACTTCCGGTTCGGCGCGTCTTATCAGAGCGTCGAGGAAATCAACTTTTTTCGTTATTATTTTAATATTTTTGTCGGTTTGCGGTTTCCTAATATTCGCATACAAAGCCGCATCGAATCCTTCTTTGCACGTCGTTTCGTTTACGAGTATTTGGTATGCCTTTTCGATCTTTGTGTTAAAGTAGTTGGTATTTAAAAATTAAAAAAAAAAACAAAACAAAGAAAACCATTATTTGTGCTGCTGATAAATACATATACCATACTACATTAAATATTCTCACACTCACCTTATTCCGACATCCTTGACAGAATTTGTGTTTTTTCAAATAGTTCTCGAGTACTTCGTGTAGTTCTTTTGTTTCGATGGTAGCCAATTCATCCCTACAATTGTACTTCATGGAAAACCATACTTCCCGCCAAACTTCCGAAAATGGCCTGGAGCGAAAGGCGTCCAATGAATGCAGGGCACAACGAGTTTTATTTCTCAATTTACTATCCAACAAATTATTTAGTACTTCATGATGGCGATACAGTAATGTGCCTAAAGCCTGCGGTGCCAACATCAGATCTTCGCGAATAGTAAGAACACAAGTGTCCTTTAATATCAATGGATCCAGAGTCGGATATCCTGACAGCGTTAATTGGTAGAATAAACGTTCAACCCGACGACGACACCCTACACATGGCACACACTGATTCAGTAAGGAGACAAATGTGACACTGTCTATTTCGAGCGATTGTTTTAGTTCCTCTGCTGATAATAGTTTAAACTTGCGTGTAAATATTTCAAGCTCCCTTCCACGGATTTGTGGGCTATCTATGCAGAGACCTTTTGTACTCAAATCCATTAACATCTAAAAAAAATATATATTTTTATAATTATTTTAAGAGGAGACCTTTTAAGAACAACAACCACAAAAAATTTCAAGCGATCAAGACTTCATTTATAAAAGGTATACAAACTTTTTTTGACATTACCAAAGATAGCGTTTTATTGATCTTATGGCTATACAAATTTATATATATCCATATGTATAGGTATGGTATATACATATGTACATATATATGTATGTCCGAATAAGTAAGTAAGTATGTAAATGTAATTTGTTTCATATCTCACCTAAATTTCTTTCAAGCTTAAACAGAAAATTGGGAAAGATAAAAATATTTATGCTCGTGTGCACATCTATTTAAAATTAGGTTAGAAATAAGACAGCAATCTCCACTGTGTAACAAGAATTTAATTAATTTATCAATGGGTTGCATTTACTACTACATAGAAGAAAAGGCATGGCAATTGAAGTTATAACAAATAAAATGTTAGTCATAATTGTTGTGGTATTAAAAGAGAAAACGAAATGTGTATATAACAACAACATAACAACAAATTCGGTTGCCCATATTGTGTTGGGCTGTTGGATAAAACTAAGCTCCTCATTCAGTAAACAAGTTATGAATAGTAACCCAATCGAGCCCCTTCTAAGCCCGATAGTTGGTTGACGGTGCAAGTGCATTGAGGCTGCATGTTGATTAAAATATGTATCTATATATGTAAGTATGTAAATACATTTCGCATTGAACCTGTTTTCACAGCCCATCTATTGATTATACGTAGATACATACAGATATACAAACGTATGCAATATAAAATCAAAGAATACATATTGGCAGTGATTTGAATGTCTTCTCTAATCAGATGTAATTACTACAAAGATCCTTCACCGCTTGTTGAATTTTTTAGATGAAATCATTTCCATAACCTTTGCGGATGAATGTATATTAGATGTATCAACAGGTCCAATGTCATACAATCAATCAGCTGGTTATTGTATGCTCACTTTTACTATAGACAGACTTTCTCCATATACAGCAGAATCATACAGATTTTGGAAATGGTAGAGTAGTAGACAATGTTTTGATTTGGATAGTTTTTAACAATACTTTGTTTCAATAGCTCTCCTCTTACCAAATCCAACCCCACTTTATATTAAAATTATTTGTCTCTGTGTATAGTGCACACGGGAAAAATTTACCAATCTCCGTTTATTTAATATTACTTACCATTAATGAAGAATCATCGGCAGAACCTGCAACCACTGGAATTTGTCTATATCCAACGTCGATCACATCCTCTGCTCGGTATACATCCGTCAGTTTTGCCATATTTCTATCTTACAGAGCACCACACCAGACACAAGATAAGCCTCAACTAAATTATACTTGCAAGCAAGAAAATTTTAATGAATTTTAGCTAAATTGCTTTATAATTATCAACGCTTTTGAAAAATATTTAAGAAATAATTTAATATCTGCAAAGTACAATAATAAATTCTTCGTAACGACGAGACAACGAGAAATTATATGAGAAATTGTCAAACACGTAGTAGCAAACTGGAAAAGTTCCACCAGCACTGTTGCACAACTTCGTAGTTTTTTAATGACGAGTGCACCCCATCCCTAACCGGTAAATAACCAAAAATAGATTTTTTCCATATAGATGTCATTTCAAAATGTCAATAAAACATCACACAAATTTGTAATATTTATGACTTTCTTAAGAAATATAGATTTGTTTAAATAATTCAAATATAACATATATAAAAATTCTTATTTAACTACAATTCAATGCATTTTTGTGCAGTGTTGATTTTTGGAGCTCATTTACAAGTAATGAAAAAGATGAAGTTTATTGCAACGGTGATTTCATTGTGACTGCCGGACCTTTTAGGAATCGAAACATTCATAATTGATAACACAATTATATCAGACAAATTATTACTGATATTGCAAGTATTGACAACTTATAATTGGAATAGCGATGAAGTTAAAATCATGGTTCATATTATTTTGATATAGGTTGTATTCCAATCAAGTTCTTAAAATCTTAACTTTACATACTCAAACAGAAGTATTGGTAACACTGGCTCTGCTGAATCTCTGGGTCACAGAGTTGTAATTAGAAAAGGCAATAAACGAAATAGCGATCTCGACGGCTAGCTGGGTAAAAATCGTCCTGTTGTGTGAAAAAATATAAATTTTATTATTGGAAACTATTTGGTGGTGGCTGCTAAAGTTGAGAGTTCAAAATGTCACACCATTACGTAGTTACGGCCCAAAAGCCAACGGCGGTCGTTAGTTGCGTTACCGGTAAGTGATTCTATTCCTAATACAATGTGTGACCACTGGCGGGGAAACGCCGCGTAGCGTTTCTGGCTGTTGTAGTATTTCCAACTTATAAATATGTTATTGTTATAAAAATATTGACATTGCTTTAAAATTGAAAGTAAGCTTTTGCTATAATTTACTGTTCATCTTCTAAAGTAACCACGCTTTCTGTGCTGCTGGATAACCGGCATGTTTTCGAAAACAACAACAATGCTCATTTTATCAGAAGTATTTCATTTATATAAATTTTTTATTCCCTAGGCAATTTTACATCGCCTACTGACTTAAATTTAATCATTGCTCGAAACAGCCAGCTAGAAATTGATTTAGTAACACCAGAAGGATTGCGACCATTAAAAGAAGTAAATATAAATGGGCAGATCTCGGTTATGCGTCACTTTCGTCCACAGGTTTGTTAAACATTTATGGCTAAAAAAGAAATTGATATTAAAATATAGAAACATTTCTTCACATAGGATAGTAAGAAGGATCTACTGTTCATACTCACCTTGCGTTACAACGTAATGATATTGGAATGCCGAATGATAGGCGACCAAATTAGTGTCATAACAAAAGCACATGGTAATGTGTCCGACCAAGTGAGCATACCAACTGAAGGCGGTGTAATCGCAGTTATTGATCCGAAAGCCCGTGTTATCGGCATGTGCCTTTACATGGGTCTCTTCACCATTATACCTTTGGATAAGGAAACCAGTGAATTGAAAGCCACTAATTTACGGTAATGCACAACATATTGTCGCATTTTTCTCGAGCTTTAATTACCTGATTTACTATTGTGTATTTTAGTATGGACGAACTGAATGTTTATGATGTAGAATTTTTATACGGTTGCATAAATCCAACGATTATTGTCATTCATAAAGATGTGGATGGCAGGCATGTCAAGACACACGAGATTAATCTACGCGATAAGGAGTTTATGAAAATTGCCTGGAAGCAAGACAATGTGGAGACGGAGGCCACAATGTTGATACCAGTCCCAACACCTCTAGGTAAAAAAACAACTATAAATAATGTACTGTACTAATCATTATTTCATTTTACAATATTTGTTGTAGGTGGGGCGATTGTAATTGGGCGTGAATCCATTGTTTATCATGATGGAAATAGCTACCATGCTGTGGCTCCATCGACTTTTAAAGTTAGTGTCAGAAAAAAGGTTCATATTATTTAAATTATTAAATTGTTTCACTTACTAGCAAAGCACCATTAACTGTTATGCTCGGGTAGATAGCAAAGGTCAACGATATTTGCTGGGCAACATGTATGGTCAATTGTTTATGTTGTTTTTGGAGACCATGGATAATGGTAAAGGAGGTGTAGCTGTCAAGGAAATTAAAGTTGAATTGTTAGGTAACTAGAGAAAAAGGAAGATACTAAAATTGAAGTAAACTATTTTTACCCGTTCATACTTTTACATATACATTTTTAGGTGAAATCTCTATTCCTGAGTGCATTACATATTTGGACAACGGATTTCTTTTTATTGGTTCAAAGCACGGCGACTCTCAGCTGGTTCGTTTGAGTACAACACCCAACGAAAATGGTTCATACGTTATACCCATGGAGAACTTTACTAGTTTGGCACCCATACTCGATTTAGGCGTGGTGGATTTAGACCGGCAAGGGCAAGGACAAATTATAACATGTTCAGGCAGCTTTAAAGATGGTTCACTGCGTATCATACGGTAAATTTTTAGGGCTTTGATGACAACGTTGTTTGATATTCTTATTAATTATACTCTAGCATCGGTATTGGAATTCAAGAACATGCGTGTATTGATTTGCCAGGAATAAAAGGTATGTGGTCATTAAAAGTGGGCATAGACGAAAGTATCTATGAAAATACTTTGGTGCTGGCATTCGTTGGTCATACACGCATTTTGACTCTAACTGGAGAGGAAGTTGAAGAAACGGATATACCAGGATTTATTAGTGATCAACAGACTTTCCATTGCGCAAATGTGGATTATGATCAAGTAAAGTATACTAGTTCAAATGACCTAATCACAAAGTATATCACTTTCTTTACTACAGATTATACAAGTAACACCGCTTACTGTGCGTCTTGTGAAGAGCAGTACGAAAAGTTTAGTGGGAGAATGGCAACCACCAGATGGAAAACGTATTGGTGTCGTGTCATGTAATTCATCACAAATTGTCATCGCTTCGGCATGTAATGTTTATTACATTGAAATTGAAAATTGTTACTTAGCTGAAAAGTCCCAAAGAACATTAGAATATGAAGTGGCTTGTTTGGATATTACCCCATTAGAGGAGGGTAAAAGTAAAGCTGATTTAATTGCTGTTGGCTTATGGACAGATATATCCGTAGTAGTGTTATCACTGCCTAAGCTCGAAACAATGTACACCGAAAAATTATTTGGAGGTAAACATTTCATTTATGCAAAAGAAATCTTCACATTGTTTATTAAAAACTAAAATCTTCCATACAGAAATCATACCACGATCCATTCTAATGACTACATTTGAAGGCATACACTATTTGCTCTGTGCTTTGGGAGATGGCTCTATGTTCTACTTCATTCTGAATAGATTAGATGGACGCTTAAGCGAGAAAAAGAAGGTTACGCTAGGTACACAACCAACCACATTGCGAACATTTAAGTCATTTGCTACTACCAATGTTTTTGCCTGTTCTGATCGTCCAACTGTCATCTATTCATCCAATCATAAATTGGTATTTTCAAATGTTAACCTAAAGGAAGTTAATCATATGTGCTCACTGAATGCTCAATCATATCCTGATAGCTTGGCTTTGGCCACTAAGAATTCGGTAATTTTGGGCACGATCGATGAAATACAAAAACTACATATTCGCACTGTGCCACTTGGTGAAGGTCCACGACGCATTGCGTATCAAGAGAGCTCACAGACATTCGGTGTGGCAACTCTGCGTGTTGACGTACAAGGTCGGGGTGGTCCCAAGCCTACAAGACCAAGTGCTTCGACACAAGCGCAAAATATTACCTACGCTTCTAACATTGTACCCAAACCGGGTGGTGGTAATACTGGTACTACAAATGCTGAAATCGGCCAAGAATTGGATATAAATAATTTATTAATAATCGATCAGAACACCTTTGAAGTCTTACATGCGCATCAATTTATGCCATCAGAGAGCATAATTTCTTTGATGTCTGCTACGCTTGGCGATGATCCCAATACCTATTATGTGGTATCTACAGCGCTCATTTATGCCGATGAACCTGAGCCTAAAGTTGGTCGCATCATTATATTTCACTATAATGAAGGAAAACTAGCGCAAGTGGCCGAAACGAAAATCGATGGTTCATGCCATTCTCTGGTAGAGTTTAATGGCAAAGTGTTGGCAGGCATAAATAGCTTTGTGCGTCTTTACGAATGGACTAATGAAAAGGAGTTGCGTATGGAATGTAATATTCAGAATAACATTTCTGTGCTGTATTTAAAGGCAAAAGGTAAAGAACATCATAAACAAAAAATAAAAATAATAAAAAATAAAAAAATTGAAATTTATTTTTTCATTCAATTTAGGCGATTTTATTTTGGTTGGCGATTTGATGCGTTCCATGACTTTGCTGCAGCATAAACAAATGGAGGGGATTTTCGTAGAAATTTCACGCGATTGTGATCCAAAGTGGATGCGCGCTGTAGAAATATTGGATGATGATACATTTTTGGGTTCAGAAACATATGGCAATCTTTTTGTCTGTCAAAAAGATAGGTAAAATTACCTTGTAAAGTATATCATAAATAAAAAATGTAAGTCCTATATAATCCTAATAGTGCCGCCACAACTGATGAAGAGCGTCAATTGCTGCCTGAAGTTGCACGTTTCCATTTAGGCGATGTTGTAAATGTATTCCGACACGGTTCGTTGGTAATGCAAAATGTTGGCGAACGCACTACTCCCAATCAAGGCTGTGTGCTTTATGGTACCGTCAATGGTGCTATTGGTATTGTCACACAAATCCCACAAGATTTTTATGACTTCTTACATAGCCTCGAGGAGCGTCTAACAAATACCATTAAATCGGTGGGAAAGATCGATCATTCATATTATAGAAGTTACCAAACGACACAGAAGACGGAACCCTGTGAAAACTTCATTGATGGCGATCTAATTGAAAGTTTTCTAGATTTAAGCCGTGATAAAATGAAGGAAACCGTTATGGGTTTAGAGGTAGATTTAAATTCGCTTTCAGATATATTCTTTTTTGCCGATTCTTAATTTTATTTTTATTTGCAGGTAACACTAAGCGGCGAAAAGAAGGAAGCTGATATTGATGATGTTATTAAAATTGTAGAGGACCTCACGAGAATGCATTGAAGTGCGCATTTTAATTTTAGTTTCATTTTTCCTTTATTTAATTTCACTATATCTATATCGATTCAACTAGGTTTTCGATTAAATGATTGATTATTTGATTTGTTTAAAAAATGTGAAAGAGAAAATAAATATTACTTGTACCCGGTCGTTAATATTTAGTACTAACTGAACGCTTTAATTCTATTTGTTTGTTTTTTTTTTTTCTATTATTCTCATATACATGTATTACAAAGAAGCCCATAATTTATCGGCTAAGTTATTCCACTGCGTTGGTGAGAGGCTGATAAATAAATACTTTTACTATGATCCAGCACTAACTGAAACATAGTCGTAGGAAATTATAAATAACCTTCTTATTGCATATAAAGCTCTATTAGCATACTAATCAAATCCAGACGTACGTATATTGATTGTGTTTTTAAAGTAAGTAAATCAAAATTCACAGTGGACACAGCTGGTTGAATTGGCCTAAACTTCACTTTCTGAATAGGTTTATTCAGCAGTATTTGGGTCTACAAGCTTCTTTCAGTAGGCGAAGTCTTTCTTATTGGCTCTACCGCCCGTCACCTGTTGCTGCGCACTCCTCATGGTTTTCTCACCTTTTTCACTATAAATTTATAATCCCGTCCCCTGTTAATATAACAGTATTATTAATTTGCTCAGGAAAATCAAAATGAGATCGGAATAGTGTAATTACCTTCAGCCTACCATCGCTCACTGAAATCCCTTTGCTCTAAACCTTCAAAAATTGTCTAAGAACCTTTCATGAAAAATATGTATGTATGTATATCACTTAACAAATCTTCTATTATTGTCTTAAAAAGAAAAATAAGTTAAAAAAATGAAAAAATATGTACATATCTTTGTATATCTACTCAAGAATTTGCATACAGTCTTCTTAAAAATTTAAAATATTTAATACATTCGTCGAAAAAAAAACTAAAAAAATATCAAACACTTTTTGTAATGGCGTAGACACCGCTTACGCCAATCGGAAATACCAAGTGGAGCCAGGTACTTCCCCACCAGGTCTTTCCAATGGAGTGGAGGAGTTCCCCTTCGTCTGATTCCACCGGTGGGTACTGCATCGAAAACTTCTAAATCTGGAGTGTTCTTATCCATCCGGGCCACATTAATGAATTTTTGAATTTTCGCGCATTAACTTTGTCAGCCAGCTTCTGAAGCTCTTCATACTCACCCATCTCTCTGTCTCCCTCTTCAGTTCTCGGCAGTCTGTTGTGATTGCAACTTTTCGACGTCGGGAGCACGTCTAGAACACTTGAGACATGTCATACATCTATCCCAACATGATCGATTTGGTTTTGTGGTTTTCGATCCGGGGACAGCCAAGTATTGTAGTTTGATGTATTTACTTGTGCTGGAATCTAGCACTGCAGACAACCATATTTCGTGCCCCGGCGAAGCGAAGTTGATCAGCTTCAACCCATTCGGAGATGTTTCGTTGTGGGGGCTACATTTTCCGACAGTTGTACCTCGAAGAAAGTCTCTTCTTTGTCCACGCAGGCATTAAAATCGCCGAGCAGGACCTTGACATCGCAGCGAAAAAAAATTACCACAAATCGGATTAAAAAAAATATGTCCATCCATATGCATATAAAACTGGCGCTTTGTAACCGTTGCAAAGGAAATAAATTAAAAAAATTTATCAAAGCCTATTTTCGCAAAAAGCTTCCAAGTCATCTCTAAATTGTTCAAACTTTTCAAATTAAAAACGGGCTATCTTGCAAGCCTAACGGAATATTAAAGTTATATAATTAAAGTCGGAACAGAAGAGGGGTTGACATTATTACCTACCGAGGTGCGACCAAAATTAGAAAATTATTAAGTTAAATTTTAAACTAAATTAAAAAAATAATAATAATTTTTTTTTATTTAAATTAGTTTTCTATAACTTTTCGATGTTGGCCGAACCAGAGGACTCGAGCCCTGATCTTCCGAATGGCAATGCTAACCACTCGGCCACCGGATGAAAAATATATTTTTATAAAATATTCCACCAATGTCGCAAAAAAAAATAAATATATTTGCATTTGATTGAATACACACAGCATAACCCATCTAAGCCGAAGAAGTACGAAGTAAAAATCTGTGTCTGAATTTCTTATACGAACTCTTCTACGAGTGTAAAATTACACAGGAAAATGGCTGATTTTTGAAAAAGCTGCGAAGTGAGGTTCTACTAGATTTAGTTGAGAAGTATTGTAATTCCAGTCCGGGGCTTGACTTTTTTATCTCAAGTTTTCGAACCCAAACCCGATTTAATACCTTTTAAAATTAAAGCTTTAATATCTTCAATGAAAATCCTCAAGTGCCAATACAAGGCTTTAGAAATTGTTAAGCTTACGTTTGGAGAATTGTTACAATTTTCTCCGTAAATAAATTTTTTTTAAATTTTATGATAAACTTTAATCAGTTGCATATGTAATTTCTATTTTATTGGGTGACCCTTCGTCTTCTTTCCGGCAACATCATTATTCCACGCTCATAGCACTTCTGGTCTTTATCTGCAAAATCCTGAACCAAGTGCGATTTCATACCCTCGTCTTTTTCAAAAGTTTTACCATTTGATATATTCTGTAAAGTTCGAAGCAAATGGTAGTCTGACGGTGCAAGGTCACGGCTATATGGTGGATGCATCAACAGCTCCCAACCAAGCTCTCTCAGTTTTTGGCGAGTGACCAAAGATGTGTGCGGTCTAGTATTGTCCTAGTGGAATATGACACCTTTACGATTGACCAATTCCGGTCGATCTCGTTGATGGATTTATTCAAATTGTGCAGTTGTTCGCGGAAGACATCCGAATTGATCGTTCGGCCCTTGGTAGCAGCTCAAAATATACCACACTCTTCGAATCCCACCAAACTGACAGCATAATCTTCTTTTGGTGAATTTCAGCCTTTGAAGTGGTTTCTGGCGCTTCATTACGCTTGGACATTCCAATTTTATTTTTTAGTTATGATTTGCTTCAGAAACGGATATATTCTTTGCGTTTGGGATGCATACATGTCTCAAGCATTGAAGCGGCTTGTTAAATCCAAGGCGTCGTATATTATTATGAACGGCTGATTTTGGTATACTTAACTTCTCTACAATCTCACGCACAGTTACAGGGCGATCCATTTGATTAAAGCTTTGATTTGGTCATCATCAACTTCACTTCGCCGACCTGAACGTGGCTTATCTTTGAGTAAAAAATCTCACGAACGGCGTTTGACAAACCAACTTTGAGACTGTGCTTCTTTTAAGGCCTTATCACCATAGAAATTATGCTACTTTTTAATATTCGAGGATGCCAGTGCGCAAAGGACCATAAATCATTGGCAAAACTTTTCTTTCGAAGACTGCCAAGTCCGACTCATCAGATGTTGACATCGCCCACGCTTCAGCGCTGTGGATTAGGTCGGGTATGATATATTATTTGTAATAGAAAACGACAAGAAGCGTGAAACAAAACCACGTTCCATCAGGCAAGAGAAGGGAGGTTTACGGAAAAGGAGACGCTAGGCTAGATAAAGGGAGGGAGGGGTCCCGGAAGACCTAAAAAATAGGACCACGAAGATTATGAATAAGACAAAAAAATTTGTTTAGAAATTGGGACGACAGAATGGCGAGCCGTGGCTCAACCGTTACATACATATTTTCAAATGTTCACATTAAACTTGACAAAGTTCTTTGAACTTAATTCTTTTTCAACGATGACAAAGAAATCATTAAATTTTGGTTGCATTTGGTTACAAACTGCATTACAATGGGACGAGTTGTAGGTAACTACATCCTAAATGCAGGGGGACACATACTCGTACATATGTACACATAAGAATTAAGAATTTTTCAGGAGCTTCATACATACATACTACATACACGCAACCGACTGAACCTTTTGTATGGACACTCGAAGTGAGCTAACATTCCCCACCGCCAACGTCAAGCCGACAGCCGCGACGGCAACGTAATGAGCAGCGCATTCAACGCACTTCCAATGCGATGCCTTGCAATAATTTACTTCCAAGCATCCAATAGCAGCAGCAGCAACAGCGCAGGCAACAATAGCACCAATGTTGCTCGCCACCCCCAAATTGTATATGTAAGTTTTTAAACAAGTACAAATTTTGCTATACTATATGTATACGTGTATGTATTTACACTGCTGTGTAATGTAAGGTGCGTTGGTGTGTGTTTTAAGGGACGACGTTTCGCCTGGCCGCCATTGTACTCGTTCGCACGCACCAATCCCACCACTACGATGCTTTAACTAAATCGTGGGCTCGTTGTATGTGGATGTATGTACGAGTATATATTGTATATATGTATATACAAGTTATATTGTTGTTTTGCTGCTGTTCCTTGTTTTTGTTTTCTGTTGTTATCCACGTTCGAATTTGTTGTAACCCGCTGCCGTCGCGTATTACTCTGACTGTTCGGCACGTTTCCCTCGGCTGACTGACGGCCTAGGTTGTGCTGCCCGCTGTCTGCTGCCTGCTATCTGCTGTCGGGTTGTCGGGTTGTCGGTTGCCTGCTGCCTGCTGCCTTATGCTTGCTGTTTGCTGCTGGCTGCTCGCTGTGGGCTCTGTCCGAGGTCCGTTTGTGGTGAAGTTCAGTCTCAGCTTTCATTCATTTCGATTCCAGCATCCAAGCATGTTTTGCCTACTCCAATCGCACACTCACTAAATACTAAGCTTTTCTTATCTTTCTGCTGGTGTTTTTTTTTATCTTGACGTGTTTGTGTATCTGTGCGGTATAGTAGTTGTAGTTGAGTTGTGAAACACGAAAATTTATTTAGTTTTATAAAACAAAAAAAAAACCCGTGAAATGCTTCGGGAAAAAATTGTGAAATAAAAGTGTTGCAAATAAAAAAAAAATAAAAAAAATTGAAAAAATGCTAATTATTTGCAATTTTTTTATACCTACTCGTGTACATACTCATATATACATGCTTATGTGCTAAATATGTATTTATCGCCAGCCAATCAAACGTCAAGTAGCGATTTTTAAGTGGTCCCTTGAAAACTTATTAGTGGCAATAAAAACAAATTGAATACTCGTATTTACATATATACACTACATATGTATATACAGGCATATGTACATACGTATTAACCTACAAGTAAATAGCTTTTTCATTAACTTTCACATAAAAATCCAACCGAGCTCGGTTTTTTTTCTGAATTTTCTTTGTACTCGTACGGATTAGTGTTCCGCTGTGAAAATAAATCAAGTGAAAATAAAAATTATTAAATAAATATACATATATAAATACATACATGCATTTTGTAAGCGATTACGCTTTTTAGCGTTATGTGCGGTTGCGTCCACCGATTTATTGTTAACTGATTGCATTACTGGATTTTTTTCCTCATTCGGGCGTAAACTCATCCCTTGCAAAGAAGTGCAGCGAAGTTACCGGCGGCATAACGGGTATTTAACGAAGGTGAGTTGTTGGGCGGGGCGCTTAGGTCTTTTCGATTGGCTACTCAACCGACGGCATATCTGACGTGAAAAAAATGTATTTATTTTTATGCAAATTTTGTTGTTGTTTGATTTAGATTATTCCTAGCTTTAATTCAAAAGCTTTGAAAACGTGTACGAGAATTCACATAGAGAGTTGAATTTTTATAAGAAGTTCTTTTAGGCACCTAAAAAGCGCAAATCCGGGGTAGAACGGCCAAACCAATGATGCTGGTATTCCGCTTTCCCGTCGGTACACAGAAAAAATTTGCAGGGCGAAGCTTTGTTGATCGGAGCACTCTGTTTGGCAATTGTAAACGCGACGCAAATTAAATCTAAGTAAGATGTCGGGGGGTAATGAGGTATAGTTAAGCTTCTGGGTATGCAGTTACAGTCGCGGGGCCATGCTCAGTTCCTACCCTTGCACCCTGGAAACATGAGCAACCCTGGTGAAAGCCGCGATAAGCAACCCGGATGGAGCCTTGGGTCACGGCTAAGAAAGAGGAAGTTTCGCCACTCCAACTTATTCGGCTTTGAGGTTCACTGAAGTCCAAATTCATTAGCTGTTCACCAGAGCTGCGGCTACGAGCGGCCGTCGGTCTTAATATAGGCGAATCTCTATATAAATATGTAAAAAAAGTTAAATTCATTCGCCCATCGAGGTTGGGGACTCGCCACGTTGAAAATCAGCTTCAATGAAAAGCAATACAATGCCTCGGATAAGATACTCCCTTTTGATGACGACACCCGTAAACGAGGTAATGAACACGAGTTGAGGGCATGCACCTAGAATGTACTTCCCTAAATTGGAAACGTGCCGTTGCTCAGCTGGTTGATGGTTTCGTAGGAATAAAGGGTGACATGCCTGACTTGTTGAAATGGGATGGACGGGACAGGGATGGCAGGGAGATGTAGCGTAATTTCCCATTGCTAGTGTCCATCTTAGAAGCAAAACTGAATCAACCAATCACAGAACTGTCTTTTTTAGTACGACATGCCATCTTTCTAACGCCATCTATTGAACCTCGATCGGACTTATACAAGATGAGACACAGATGAACAGATGAACCTATTGGAAAAATAATGGATTTCTTTTTACTACACCTAATACATTATATAACTGTCTATAGTTGAATATGAAGTGATTGATTGAGAAATGTTTTCAGCATAAGCTATTAAATCCTCTGCAGAGAGTTGATCTCTATTTGCAATGAGTTGAAAAGTCGGGATTCTTTAGACCAGCTCTTGGGTAGTACTTTCTTCATTGTAAGTTGAAAAGCCTTCGACTTCTTTGTAGGTCACTATAAGTCTGGCTCACTCGGTAATTATTTCGGTAGTAGCCGGTAGATGGCTTTCTCAATACCTACGTTTTTTTCAGATTACTCAAACTGGATTACGCTAAAACCTAATACCTAAAAATAGGAGTGAAGCTGGAAGGGCAAATCTGACAGAGAAACTTAAAAGAGCTTCCGTTATTTCTGTGGCTGTGATTTCTCGAGTACAATACGTATCGAATTAACAACATCGACATACTTATGTCTTTTTGATATTTTGGTGCTTCTTTACGTGAAAGCAACTCCAAACTGGCGAAGTCTATTTTTGATATGACTTCGTTTCGCAGAGGCTATAAGCCATATGACTTAATTCGTTCCCGTTTGCGTAAATTTGTGAGTGAGGAAAAGCTTTGTTTCCACATTAAAGCGACATGAATCGCGTAAGGAGCGTAAAAAGCAGCTTGCATGTGACAGTTATATGTTCCCAGAAGAATCTACCTTATCGTAAATACCTAATAAGGTGGCCAGGAGTCCAAACAAATGATAATCTCTTCTACTTAGCAATGCCTTGACAGACCAGCCAAGTTTATGGCTACCCCAATATAACTGAAGAAAATTGCGTCTCTTCTGTCTCTTCTTGTGTATTCGGTTCTAAGCTAGTGAGGATTTTGGATGAAATATTTAAAGTCTGATATGTTAATTTAATATTTTGTTTATTTTTGCTGGGAGGAAAAAAGTATACGACACTCGCCTGTTGACATAAAGCACAGTAAGCTACATATCCTATTTGACTTTCGGAATCTACTTTGTGAAAAAATTTGTATTAACTTTTTCGCAATTATTTTTTCTAGTTGGGGTCAGAAGTTCGAATTCTGAAATAGCGTAGACACTGCTAACAAATAGTCGCTGAACACACCCAGTGAAGTCAGATTCTTCTCCGCTGATCTTTCCAAGTGTGTGAATAATAAATTATTACTCGGTAATTTCTCAATCCCCTAAATCTCAGCTTTCAAAAAAATCACAATCTAATTCCATAAACTGAAAATGATAACAAATTTATTTTCTGTGTTTGACTCTTCATCAAACATTTTCAATTTAGCATTAAACTGAATAAGCACATTTCTGGACTTATTATTTATTGCCTCTTCTAATTTTTGAAATTCCTCTGCTTCTCCTGCTTACACACTACGTGGAAAACTTGCCAAGCTCACTGGGCTGAATTATTTCATAAGTCCAGTCTCCACCATCAGACTTTTTCCTAATTTTGGATTATCTTAGATTAATTTCCTTCCATATAAATTTAAAGAAAGCGAAGCTATTGTACTATTCGAACCTCGTAGACTTTAGCCTTGTTGCGGTATGGCTTAAGACTAAGCTAAGGATTTGTAGTTCTTGGCTGAAAACAGTTTATTGAATATTCGACGCATTTTAGTCAGTGATTGGATCAACATTTAAAATTCCTTACACTCGTAACAATTGAAAAAATCAATATAAACAAGATTTTCCAGCATATTTAATAACCCATAAGTGTAATCTTATCACTATCAATGGTCTCTGCATATCTTGTTGTGAGAATCTTCGTTGTGGCCGGTTTCAGAACGATTCACATGTCAAAATTCTTGGCTGACGATCATTTAAGGGGTAACTATTAATACAATATTTTTGTAATTGTTGTTATACATATTACATATTTCTTTAAGAAAGCGTATGAGACATATGAGCACAACAACAACTGCACAAATAATTACAACAACATAACAGAATATACCACAATGCGGGTCAGTAGTGAGCAGTACGTGAATCATATGAGTGATGATGTTAAGCGATAGTTGCATAAGATCCTTTGTGTGTTGTTGTAATGTGTTTGAGGGTAGTACAAGCGCGTGTGCTTATATGTACATATGTCCTTTGTGTAATTGTGTAGTTGTGGAGCGCATAGGACAGCAAAATTGAATTGAAAAATGAGCAATTCGAAAACTCTCTAAGTTGTTAGTTGTTATTTCTTACAGCATCTTCAGCAAACAACTTATATACGTGTATGTATGTATGTTTCTACTGCCGAAATATAGAATATCCTTGTTGGTGTTCTGGCTGCTGGCTTTCGTACATGATGCTGTGTAGTGGTTTGTCAGTTTGGCGTGCCGTTGATCGAAGTGATTCGATACTGTCTTTGGACGTGATCCGGACAAAGAACGGCATGTCGATTTGCTATTTGAGTTCTTGAATGTACGCAAGGATACATAAATGAGTATGGAAGAGGTGCGTAGTGAGAATTGTAAATAGTGCTAGAATTAAATGAAAACACACAAGTGCATATATATGTATGTATGTATATATATATGTGTGCATGTGAATCTTACTATAAAAATATGTTTAATGTCCTGCCAAACTGAATATGGCACGTTCAATTCGCAACCGGATAACATCGCTTTTCAGGCATTTAAAAAAATTGAAAAAAATTTTTTTTTGTTTGGTTTTGCGATCAAAAGTTGCTGATAAAATTTCCTTAGTTTTTGCTACTGATTTTTAAATTTTGTATTATCTCCTTTTCAATTTTCAATTTTCAAATTCCAATTTTCCTTTTTGGCTTGTTGACGAATCGGCGAGACCGCTGAGTACTATTTAAGAGGCGTGAAGTGTAAAAAAGACTAATACTTTTTATTAGTATGCAAGTATGTATGTATGTATGTATGTATGTATGTATTGAAAAAAGTGCATTTAACGCGTTGTACGCGCCTGCGCATAAATTAAATGTCACTGACACGAATGATGAGTCCAGAGTATTGATGATGTTGGTTGGCAGAAAGAAGCTGGAAAAGTAAGAAGCACAATTTGTTGTAGAAGTGGAAGTTGTTTGAAAGTCTACCTTTGTATAGACATATTTACAAACAAAAATACTCATATATATAAAAATATCTAAGTAAATATATGTATACGTAAGTATTATGCATAGATTTGTATATATGTATGTATGTCTATACTTTAGGTGTGAACAATTTGAATAGAGGCATCATCAAATTGGTACAATTTTAAGTATAGGGGGCGTTACAAATTTACATAAGTACATACACATATACATGTACATATGCATATACATATAACGATGTAGAGAAATATTTCTATGGCGCATCAATTTCCATTGACAGCAACAATGGAGTTAGAGCTACTTATAAAATTCAAAAATAAAAAAAAAGAATTAAGAACATTTCCTAGCAACAGCATCTCTCTGAATAAACATACATCAAAAAAAAAAAATGAATAAACATACATATATATACATATATATATATATATCTAGGCATTTACGTTTATCCTGTGCAACTCAACCTCATTTCCTATTTGTCTCTTATCTGTAAAATTATTTTATAAATTTTTTCGTATTTTCAAGTTTATGCTCCACTACCCTCCACACGTTATAACATAACGGAAGTTTGTCAAATATTTTCAACTCTAAGCGGAATGTGTTTGCATGCACACGTATGTATGTATGTATGTATGCATATGGACATTTAAATTTTTAGTCCTTTCCAAGGCAGGCTGCTGCGACAACAGTTGCTTTTGCGGCTCAATTACGTCTTTGATTGAGCGTGAAATTTTTGATGTAACAACGTGCGTGTGTTATATTTAAACACAAATTTACACACTTAAACATACAAACATACATACTGTGAGTAAATTCACATAACGTAATTTATTAACACCCACTAAA